TAACCAAGCCTAAGCCTGGCTACTACATCAGTCAGGCTGTTCACATTGCAAATTACCCCATAAGCATACTTATCTACGTTCATGTTACTGGGCTACAGATCTACTCAGGCTTCTAAACATATTCCTAGAACATTCAGTTTCATTATTAACTTCCCTCCTAATATTATTACAAATGCTAGACACAGATATACCAAAGTTATATTCTACATTCTCCTTCAGGGTATTTTTCTTGGCTAACGTATCAACTTTATCAAGAAGGACTAATCTTATGTGTGATGGAATTCATAACAATTATGTATTAATTTCTTTTTCCTTGATTCTTGAGTATCTATATCTGGCTTCTGTAATGATCATGTTCTTAAGAGTTATGAGAGTAAAGAACATAAGAACATAAGAAAGGAGGAACACTGCAGCAGGCCTGTTGGCCAATACTAGGCAGGTCCTTTACAATTCATCCCACTAACAAACATCTGACCAACCCAATTTTCAATGCTACCCAAGAAATAAGCTCTGATGTGCAAGTCCCACTCAAATCCAACCCCTCCCACTCATGTACTTATCCAACCTACATTTGAAACTACCCAAAGTCCTAGCCTCAATAACCCAACTAGGTAGACTGTTCCACTCATCAACTACCCTATTTCCAAACCAATACTTTCCTATGTCCTTTCCAAATCTAAACTTATCTAATTTAAATCCATTACTGCGGGTTCTCTCTTGGAGAGATATCCTCAAGACCTTGTTAATATCCCCTTTATTAATACCTATCTTCCACTTATACACTTCAATCTCGTCTCCCCTCATTCTTCGTCTAACAAGTGAATGTAACTTAAGAGTCTTCAATCTTTCTTCATAAGGAAGATTTCTAATGCTATGTATTAATTTAGTCATTCTACGCTGAATGTTTTCTAACGAATTTATGTGCATTCTGTAATATGGAGACCAGAATTGAGCTGCATAATCTAGGTGAAGCCTTACTAATGATGTATAAAGCTGCAGTATAACCTCTGGACTTCTGTTGCTTACACTTCTTGATATAAATCCCAGTAATCTATTTGCCTTATTACGTACGCTTAGGCATTGCTGTCTTGGTTTAAGGTTGCTGCTCACCATAACCCCCAAGTCCTTTTCGCAATCTGTATGGCTAAGTTCTACATTATTTAACTTATAAGTGCTAGGGTTATGGACACTCCCGAGCTTCAGAACCTTGCATTTATCTACATTGAACTGCATCTGCCACTTTTCTGACCAAGAGTAGAGTTTGTCTAAATCCTCCTGAAGTTCCCTAACATCTACGTTTGAATCAATTATCCTACCTATCTTTGTGTCATCGGCGAATTTGCTCATATCACTAGTAACACCCTCATCAAGATCATTGATATATATTATAAACAACAACGGGCCCAAGACTGATCCCTGTGGAACGCCACTTGTTACAGATCCCCACTCGGATTTAACCCCATTTATGGACACTCTCTGCTTCCTGTCAGTGAGCCATGACTCGATCCATGAGAGCACCCTTCCCCCAATGCCATGAGCTGCCACTTTCTTTAACAGTCTTTGGTGCGGAACTCTATCAAAAGCCTTACTAAAATCTAAGTAAATAATATCAAATTCTTTATCGTGGTCAACAGCCTCAAAAGCTTTACTGAAGAAAGTTAATAAATTAGTTAGACAAGACCGGCCTCTTGTGAATCCATGCTGAGTATCATTAATCAAGCTATGCTTATCGAGATGGCTTCTTATAATCTCAGCTATAACTGACTCTAGTAATTTGCCTACAATTGAGGTCAGGCTTATTGGGCGGTAATTTGACGGTAACGACTTGTCCCCTGTTTTAAAAATAGGAATTACATTAGCCATCTTCCATATATCAGAGCCATCTTCCATATATCAGAGCCATCTTCCATATATCAGAGCCATCTTCCACATATCAGAGCCTTCAGTGATGAGACAGAATCAGTAATAATCATAGAGTCAAGCTCAGCGTTGTAAGTTGACTTAGCACCATTAAGAAGGCAAACAATTCAGTTTGCAGTGTAGAAGCCCAGTTATTATTCTTATGCCTAAATCAACAAAGTTCTTATCTTTCTTAACTAGGAAGGTGGCAACAAGAGCAGATGCAGCCCTGCCAGTAGACTCCTGCTTACATCCATCAGTGTACATACCTTGTGGTAAATTATTACTAACAGTGAAGCCAGACTCCATGGGGAAGTGGAACAGAATTCTTCCTCCATAAGCCATGCATGTCATTAATCCGTAAACGGTCCAAACGTATATATACGTTTTTTCAACATTTGAAAGTATGTAAAAAAGTAGATCTTCTTTTTGTTTTTTTACATTTGAAAATGTGTAAAAAAACTTTGATCTACTTTTTGTTTTGTTATATTTGAAAATATGTAAAAAAAACGTAGATCTACTTTTGTAGCACTACACATGTGAACGTAGATCTGCTTGGACCGTTTACGGGTTAAAGGTGACTAAAATGTCAGGAGCAAGGGGCTAGTAACCCCTTTCTCCTGTATACATTGCCAAAGTTAAAAAGAGAAACCTTTGTTTTTCTTTTTGGGCCACCCCGCCTCGGTGGGATACGGCCAGTTTGTTGAAAGAAGAAGTTAAGCAAGAATTTCTTCCTGAGCAGTTGCCTTCACAAGTGATTTAAGAAAGGGATTACTAGTGATGAGCTTCTTGCAGGTATGTGATATTAACCCCCTTTCAGGGTCAGAACCCCTGATCAGAAACCTGCTCTCAGGGTCCGAGAATAAAAAAAAAAAAAAAGATAGAGAATCTTTTTCTGAAGGTAATGAAACAAAAGTACAAAATTTGATGGAAAACTTATGGAATTGCGCTGTCGCAAAATTATCAGTCTCGGATATACTATTTATGAATCAAGTGATTTTGCCCATTTTGAGCCCTGTTTTTGGCCAATTCCGTTGTTCCAGTCAACCATACTCATAGTTATTTTGCTAGTATTCCTTCTATCAATTGAATACAAGAAACTGATCATTTACTTACTTCAACTACCCCATGCTCATTTACCTATTTCAACTACCTATTTCAATTCGATAATTTGGCAAATTTCAAAAGCTGCCAATTTCAAAATAGGACCTCAAATAAACAATGTAGACATTCCTGGCACTACCTCTGTTCATTACTCTTGTCTTCTGGCCTCTCCTATATTACATTTGTTTTCCATTTGGAATTTTTATTCACACAAAAGTTAGAAGATTTACTGTTACATAGAATACTGCATTATTTTAATAATTGTATAAATAATGTCAACACATTCATGAATTCATATTAGACCGACCAGTTGGACGCACATTGGACAATAAACGTAATTTGTGTACTCTGGAATATCGGCAAAAATAAAACATTTCCGCTACTTTGAGCTCAATTTTAAGCTACTTTCAGTCCTTAAAACAATCAAAATCATGTCTATTTCTGCAAAATATTTTCTATTCCATCAATTGAGACCAAGAAACTGAGAATACAAGCATAAAAACATACAAAAACACACTACAAAGTTGCCATTTTAAACCAAAAATATGATTGCAGGTTTTCCCCATTATGTACTGTATGCTGCAGATTTCTTTTTTATATGGTGCACACTTACCACATACACATTCTTTTATATCTAGGCCTAAATTTACCACTAACAGCTTATTTGAGTGAGCTGAGCTCATGGCACAGAATTACAGGACTGACCCGCACGTCGATGCTGTAGTACAATGGGACCCACCCCGAAAGGGTTAAATGACCACATCTTCCATGGAGGAGTGAAATGCTTGTTGTCTACAGTGATACAGTTCGTTCAAGTTTTAAAACTTAATATAAATACATGTTTTCACAACCTACTTAGATCTATGTATATTTACTTCTAGACATTAAGATTCATAGTGACAGTGTCTGGTTCATTTCTTAACATTCTAATACCCAAGTACAGTGCTAATTTCAATAATCCTATTACTGATCCTAGAAACACCAAGCTTCATCCTCATATTAAAAGCCTTGGGACAGCCAAGAATAATTCAGAAGGCTTCATTTTGCGTTAAACTCCATGAGCTGGGAAGAACTTTCCTGAGCTAATATTAACATGCGTGCAGCATAGAGGATCTAATATAGACTATGTACATCATTTTTCACTATTCTCACATTAGCGCTATAGTTGTAGCTGTAACCAGCTTTGACAACATTTAGCCATCTTTGCATTTAGTTGTGGTATGGTGGATTTATTGAAGGGTATGTCTACATCAAGATATCTCAGATTTAACCTGACTGATGTTTTCACCCTGCAAGCAGATGGGTGGGGCATGTCATTTCTTTGTCAATATCTTTGTTTTAGACGAAGATATGAAGAGGCCTAATCGATTACAAATTGCTAGAACTTCGCTAAGAATGGTACTTACCTTCTTATGCCCTGTTGTATGGATCATGATGTCATCAGCATAGCTTATAGCTATATACACAAATAACCCGCACATAAAAGACAGAAGCTTACGACGACGTTTCGGTCCGACTTGGACCATTGACAAAGTCACACTGTGTGACTTTGTCAATGGTCCAAGTCGGACCGAAACGTCGTCGTAAGCTTCTGTCTTTTATGTGCGGGTTATTTGTGTATCGTTCCAGTCACGGTATTGTGCCTTTTTGTTATTTATAGCTATATGTTTAGGTGAGGCAAGTATAGCATTTAGGAGAGCATTAATCAGAACATTAAATAGCATGGGACTGAGAAATCTTTCCTGTGGTGCACCACTCGTAAGTAGGAATGTTGACTGCTTGAACTCGCTATCAAACATTCATAAAAACTATGAAAGTTACGGTAGAAGTCATAAGTAAAAAGTCTTAGAATTGGCCAAGCTACAACAGAGGAAGTATATCCAACTTCCTCCATTATTTTGATGATGGAACAGTAAAGGGTTAGAGAGAGTACCTACGTCTCTGTGAAGGTCTGAGAGAGTACCTACGTCTCTGTAAAGGTCTGAGAGTATACCTACCTTTCTGTGTGAAGGTCTGATGAAGTCAAGGAGGAATCATCGGAGCCAACACTGTTGAGCGAGGCACAGTTGACTTCACGCTGTTCTTTGGCTTTCTTTTCTTCCCACTGAGCTTTGACTTCATCAGCAACTCTTCGCTTTAACTCTTCTACTCGCCGTCGCTCATTTTCAATTACCACAGTTCCTACAGAAAGCAAAATTATTCTCATATTTAAAATATGCACTAAACCCAAATAAGATATTTATTGTTTATTAATAATGTAAAGAACATAAAACAAGTAGCAATTAAAGAATCCCTTCTTCAGAGAAACACTTCAGTATGATTCTACATTAATTCTTTCAAGACTGCCAAGTTCCATCAACAAATAATGAAATGATAAACACAGCATTGCACTTTTATTTTTTACCACATTGGTCACATATAAATACTGAATATGATTATAAATTACAGAATCACTTATTCTTCCTCTGTATGCGGAGACTGCTGAGTGGTAATTTAAAATAAAATCTGACTTAACCCAAGCAGCTAAAATGCATTATCAAACATACAGCATAAATTCTATGAACAGCAGAGGCAGCAGCAGTTACTGTGGAACACCACTGCCAGGAAGAGCATGCAACCTACAAATTGTATATGCACAAAATGGAAAGGCTTTGAATATTGTCTCAAACTTATCTTTCTTAAATTCGTGTGTACAGAAGGGTCCTGACTATACAGCTCACTCTTTTTGGCGATTCATGTTTTGGTGGCTTTAAACTGAGTCATTGTTCATTATGTTTGATGTTTTTGCTGATTTTCTGCCAAAACTGCACAACAGCTGAGTAAAGGAAGGGGGACTAGCACCATATTTTAAGGTAAGTATTGTATGTACTGTGTACGTATTTATTTTACTTAATGTTTTTTATACTTAGCTCTATTAAGCACTTAATATATGATAATTTAAAAACATTATCAGGCACTTCAGGTGCATTCAATATTGAAAAAATTGCTTTTTTCCACCTGCCAGCAATTGTCACTTATTGCACAGGGTCGCAAACTTAAGAGCTGTACAAATGGGGTCCTCCTGTATTTTTCATTGCTTACAGTACTTATGGTATATCTTTATTCTTACTCTTGTCCCTTTGTGCGTTTGGCAGATTTATTGCTTCTGATGCCCATGTGCCTGAGCTCACTGGGGCAGACTTAGCTCACAGGCCTGAGCTCACTGGGGCAGACTTAGCTCACAGGCAGTGCTCATCATATCACAATCACATTTCTAAGTGCTAATGACTGGTTTTGCCGAAGTAAGAGTACATATTATTATTATTATAGCAATGAGGAAGTGCCAAACCCATAAGTGTCACATAATGCTTGTGCTGATAAAAGAGCCAAATCATCATGTGCAATTTACTGAACAAATAATTTATAAATAATTGACTTTGTAAATGGTCCAAGTCGGACTGAAACGTCGTCGTAAGCTTCTCTCTTTTATGTGCGGGTTATTTGTGTATCGTTCCAGTCACGGTATTGTGCCTTGTTTTTGTTATTTGTTATAAATAATTTACTTGTTTATTTTAATGTCTTCGATACTTGATGGAAGTTTAAATGTCTTTGATAAGAGTTGACATCATGTGGTCCCCTAGGCATATACCTGTGACCAGGTTCCATGGTTATTCTATCATTGCAGTTTAGTAATAATGGTAGAGTTACCGACAAAATGCTAGGACAATGGACACAGATGCAGCTAATGTGGCATTGATTGTGGTAATGTTTCACTCTCCAGCAACTTTGTCAAGCTGTAAACAAAAATCCTGGAGAGCAAAATGTTGCCAAAATAAAATATCACATTAGTTCAGTGGTATTTATTGCGCGTCTCGCGAGCCACTATTAATAACAAGATATGCAGGCTAATATTACCATATCTAATTTTTCTCATTTACTATATTGCACTAGCAGCTCAGTACTACTTAATTTAGTTGAGTTAAGCTAACTTGCAGTAGCTGCGGCTCTCTCAATCAATGTGTTTAACTGAAGTGGCTCTCTTGCAAAAATTAGTGAATAACGCTGCATTAGTTTCATCTGTGTCCATTTACCTAACATTGCAGTTTAGTCTTGTCTTCTTGACTAATATGGCACCTGGGAACTTCTATCCTGGTTCCAGCACCTGGGAACTTCTATCCTGGTTCCAGCACTTGGAAACTTCTATCCTGGTTCCAGCACCTGGGAACTTCTATCCTGGTTCCAGCACTTGGGAACTTCTATCCTGGTTCCAGCACTTGGAAACTTCTATCCTGGTTCCAGCACCTGGGAACTTCTATCCTGGTTCCAGCACTTGGGAACTTCTATCCTGGTTCCAGCACTTGGGAACTTCTATCCTGGTTCCAGCACTTGGAAACTTCTATCCTGGTTCCAGCACCTGGGAACTTCTATCCTGGTTCCAGCACTTGGAAACTTCTATCCTGGTTCCAGCACCTGGGGACTTCTATCCTGGTTCCAGCACTTGGAAACTTCTATCCTGGTTCCAGCACTTGGGAACTTCTATCCTGGTTCCAGCACTTGGAAACTTCTATCTTGGCTCCAGCACTTGGGAACTTCTATCCTGGTTCCAGCACCTGGGAACTTCTATCCTGGTTCCAGCACCTGGGAACTTCTATCCTGGTTCCAGCACCTGGGAACTTCTATCCTGGTTCCAGCACTTGGAAACTTCTATCCTGGTTCCAGCACCTGGGAACTTCTATCCTGGTTCCAGCACCTGGGAACTTCTATCCTGGTTCCAGTAGTGTGTTTTCCAGAGGAAACACTTACTGTACAACAGCTAGACTAGAAAAAGTGGGAAATATATTTCACACAGCATATTATTCTTATACTGGACTTAAAAAGATAAAACTTTGAGTAATAATATACATTCATTATCTGAACATTTGAAATTGCATAACCTTAAAATTTCAAATCAATAATCATACTAATGCTTTCCTTAAATTTCTTGCACATAATAGCTTTATAATATATTCCTCGTGCATAGTGCTACAAAACAGAGAAATCTTTTGCACAGTAGGTCCCCAACCTAATAATGTTTAATAATATTTGTAATTTTTTTTAACACACTGGCCATCTCCCACCTAGGAAGGGTGACCTGAAAAAGAAACTCTTTCACCATCATTCACACTATCACTGTTTTGCCAGAGGCATACAGATACAACAGTTTAGATATCCCTCTAAACAGTAAATATCTCTAACCCTCCCTTAGAGTGCAGACACTGTATTTCCCATCTCCAGGACTCAAGTCTGGCTAATTGGTTTCCCTGAAATATTACCTTTCGCACACACTAACAGCTCATCAAGTCCCAAAAACCATTTATCTCCACTCACTCCTGCTGGATGTCCAAGCCTCTTGCACACATGTCTCATAATAGTACACATGTCTCATAATAGTACACAACATGTCTGATAACAGCACACATGACTGATAACAGCACACAACATGTCTGATAACAGCACACAACATCTCAGGCTGTCATTTCTGCACGACAGACAGGAGAAAATGTCCAGGAAAGCTTTAATGTTGTAAGTGGGGGACTTACTGTATCTTGCAACATGCTTGTTTGATGTAAATGGTTTAGAAAACTAACAAATTGAAGAATGAAACATTAGTACAACATCTGGGAATCTTTACTGAAGAAACGTTTCACCAATCAGTGGCTTCTTCAGTCCAGTACAGTGAAAGGTGGAAGATGAGGAGGAGTATAAGGTAATCAGTCCCTCAGCTTGAAGTATATCGATCACATTGACTCCAGGTTAAGGGACTGATTACCTCAAACTTATCTTCCATTGTTCTTCTCTGTATCTGGACTGAAAAAGTCACTGACTGGCAAGACATTTCCTCAACGAAGATTCCCAAATGTTATACAAGTGTCTCATTCTTCAACATGCCAGTATTTTATTACTGGACTACTTTACTATCATGCTGCTACGTGATCTGACGGAAGTAATTTACATTTTACAGAAAGTTTTAAACTATTATACTCTTAAATTATAATACTTTTTATGCTAGGCTAGTTAAAAAAAATACTTCTCTGTTTACAAGATGCCAGAAAATAAATGAAAAAACTATAAGAAAACTGCTAGAACTTGTCTAAGATGCAGATATATTACATACAAATTAAACAAGTGAAAATAGTTACTCTAAAATCTTGATAGTTTTCTCCTTCTGACATCATTACCTTGTTGAGACGACTTATACTTTTCTTGGCTACACGAGTACATCACAGCGGATATTCTGGCATTAGGCTGTTTCACGTTTATGGAAGCTGAAGTGCGAGGGAAAGGTGTTGGATGAAAGCTGTCGGCAGTCTTAAGGTTAGACCAAAGAGAAATTCTATTTGCATTTTCAGTAAAGAAGTTTTTAGACAAGAAGTCACACACTTCATGAGGTTTGGAATTAAGGTTATGCACTTGGCCATAAGTATGACACACTTGTGCACACAGCAGTGGTGAGGAGTGTTCAGTAGTGGGTAAAGCATTGTAAGTTAGTCCTTCAAACATGTTATATAAGGTTGGGTTTAATGAAGTATTCAGGATCTTCTCACACTTGGATACACGAACATTGTTCACTGGTGAACTAATATAATATTTGGAGTTGGTTCCTGTATCTTTAATACCATGAAACGAGGAAAGAAAGTTTTCTTGCTTTTGTTTAGTGTTTCCGAATGAATTCATGGTAAGATTTTGTTGTAATATATTATATTTGATGTTATATGGCAGTCTGCAAGAGCAGTATCTTCCCTCACCTTGCTTGGCTAGAAGAAGTCGACGGTTCTGCTCTATTTCCATCAGTGTTGCTGAAGTTTTACGTCCCAGAGAGCCGTCTGAGCATCCAAGTGGCGTAGATGATGTAACCTGAGGGAACACTGTCTCCATTACTCAAGGAACCTGAGGGAACACTGTCTCCATTACTCAAGGAACCTGAGGGAACACTGTCTCCATTACTCAAGGAACCTGAGGGAACACTGTCTCCATTACTCAAGGAACCTGAGGGAACACTGTCTCCATTACTCAAGGAACCTGAGGGAACACTGTCTCCATTACTCAAGGAACCTGAGGGAACACTGTCTCCATTACTCAAAGAACTCTGCCAAATAAATAAATAAAACTTGACTCTTCAAGGGAGTGCCTTGATGCTGATGACAGAGCTCTTGATCCAAGGAATTAAAGCTAGCCCTCTTCCCCTTTGTATTAAATATAATTGCCCTCCACTTCCCTGACACTGACCCCTATGGGTTTAGTACAAATTTGGTACACATCTGTCAAGAAATGTGCTTTCCTTATGATGTCTATTTAGTTTTAACAAAGACGCATAAACTGAAAAAAGAACTAAATAATTTTGTTCATAACATGCTCAATGGATCTCCCATGAAAACACGATTTTTTTTATCATTCTTTTTTTTTATTAATCCTTTTTTAGGAATCTCAGTATTAACCAGATTAGAGTAACACAAAGTTAATAAAAAACAAAGCCAGAGTAATTATGAAGAAAGTGTTTAATACTGTACATCCATTGTATGAGTCAATCTTTGGTTATATTCACTGTAAATGTCAACCTCTTCTTATATTAACAAAAAAGTGAAATTTCAAATTCACTTTATAATGATACAATAAACCTTCAATATATAACAAACCTCTATATAATGGACTTTTTGAATATGAAGCAAAATCTGCTGAGTCAGTCAATTGAGGACAGTTGTTTACAGAAGTGTCCGTCAATATTAATATTATGGCAAATTAATCTCATTACACGTGACTAGAATGTCAAGAGCAAGTTGCTAGTAATCTTCCTCCATAAGCCACGTGTGTTGTCAGACATAACTAGAATGTCAAGAGTAAGTTGCTAGTAATCTTCCTCCATAAGCCACGTGTGTTGTCAGACATGACTAGAATGTCAAGAGTAAGTTGCTAGTAATCTTCCTCCATAAGCCACGTGTGTCGTCAGACATGACTAGAATGTCAAGAGTAAGTTGCTAGTAATCTTCCTCCATAAGCCACGTGTGTCGTCAGACATGACTAGAATGTCAAGAGTAAGTTGCTAGTAATCTTCCTCCATAAGCCACGTGTGTTGTCAGACATAACTAGAATGTCAAGAGCAAGTTGCTAGTAACCTTCCTCCATAAGCCACGTGCGTCGTCAGATGTGACTAGAATATCAGGAGCAATGTACTAGTAGCCTTATCCTTTATAAATTATGTACTTAAACATAAAAAGAAGAAATTTTCATTTCTTCTTTTTTTGTCTTACCTCACCTTGGTGGGTGATGGCCAATGTGTTAAAAAAAACAAAATTGATATTTGATGTTTTTCTTTTTTTCAGCATACTGGCCATTTCCCACCAAGGCGACGTGACCCAAAAAAAGAAGAAAACTTTATAAAGTTTTTCTTCTTTTTACATTTAGTAATTTATACAGGAGAAGATTACTAGCACTTTACTCCCGGCATTTTAGTCGTGTCTTATGACACGCATGACTTATGGAGGAAGGATTCTTTTCCACTTCCTCGTGGAGTTGTTCTGCATTGTTTAAACTTGTCATGTTGCAGATGATTCTTTACCTGGTGTATGCGATCCAGGTCCTCTTGGGATCGATCCAGGAAGTGTAAACGAGATAAACGCTCCACCAACTCAGCAGCGCCGCTCTGCATGACACACGGATCAAAACATAAATACACATCCAGTCTAGATGCAATACAGAAATAAGGAAGATAAATATAATTACATCACTCATATTACACTACAATTTTTGACAATTTGAAACCTTAGTGCCAATTTCTTTCTATATTTTAGAATTTCCTTGCAAAAATATTCTAAATCATCCATCTTTACACCAATGTAGGTAGGGTGACAAAGATACAGTGGAACCTTGGCATGCGAGATTAATTCATTCCAGAAGGTTGTTCGAGTGCTGCTCCATTTGAGTATCGAACAAGTTCTTCCCAGCCAATTTTCTGTTTGGTTGGCTGTTATCACTAATTGTCGTGGGCCCCATGGTGACTTATTTATATGAATAATACACAAAAACACCAAAAAATGCAAGGAAACATGAAATAGTTCACAGTGAAGTTCTGGCAGGTCATGTGTTTGGTCGTGTGCTGAGCTTTGTTCGAGTAGGGAGGTGGTCGTATCCCGAGGTTCCACTGTATAAATATAGTAGAGTGGACCCCCGCTTTACGATCAGCTCCCAATGCGACCAATTATGTAAGTGTATTTTTGTAAGTGCGTTTGTACATGTATGTTTAGGGGTCTGAAATGGACTAATCTAATTCACAATATTCCTTATGGGAACAAATTCGGTTAGTACTGGCACCTGAACATACTTCTGGAATGAAATAATATCGTAAACCGGGGATCCACTGTATATTCTTTCCTGAAGGGATTCAGGAAAACTGGTTAGTGGGACTCGAGTCCTGGAGGTGGGAAGTACAGAGCCTGTGTTATGAAGAAGGGGTGCTGATATGGTACAGTGTTTTAACTGTAGTGTAGGTGCACCTCTGACAAGACTGTGATGGCGTGAATGATAATGAAGGTGTTTCTTCCTTTTCAGGTCACCCTGCCTCTGTGGGAAACAGCCGATGTGTTGATAAAAAAAAATCTTCCATCACTTACAGAATCCCAATAAAAAGGTAATACCAGAGATTATTAGAGAACTCTCGTTTTATCTCATGGAGAAAAAGACACTTTTTGTGAAATAAATGAATGACCCTTGATGACCTTGATGAAGTGAAAGTGTTAAAAAAAATTATGAATGTTTTTAAGAGGCAGCTGGTTAAGCTGTTAACACACTGACCTGTGAGTTTTAAGACTCACTTGCCATGGGTTCAAACCTTACCCGTACCGTGATATGTATTATTTTGTTTATCATATCGACTGTTCCCCACCCAGGTAGGGTGACAAAGGAGCAGACATAATCACCATCATTATTATTATGAAGAACAGTACCTCCTCAGTGTCAGATGAGCAAGGTGAGTACTGGCCATTGCTGGGTATGAGACCTAAGCGAGTCAGCTCCCCAAGACGGCGTTCTGCAACACTCAAGTGCCCTCGCTCCTGCAAACCATGAAAATAGGAGAGTATAAATAGAAAGTACATCTTTCTGGCACTTGGCACACAGAGGATCAAGCTTGCACCACAACATCTTTCTGGCACTCAGCAGACAGAGGATCAAGCTTGCACCACAACATCTTTCTGGCACTCAACAGACAGAGGATCAAGTTTGCACCACATCTTGCATTGAATGACCCACCTGAGTTTAGTGCTTAACATGAAATATTACTGCTACAATCCAACACCAGCTTAATGAGACGCCACCAAGCACTAGCACACGCAACAATAAACAATTATAAACAACACACTCCACTCAACAAATGTTTCAAAAATTAGAAAATTAAAATAACCGTGACTCAACCAAAAGGTGTGAAATATACATGATAATATACGCTTGGAAAAACCTAGAGGAACTGAGTTCCAAATCTGCTCTATGAAAGCCAAAGACTTGGTAGGAGATGCAACATTTCCCCAGTGAAAACAGGGGTGCACAAGTACATTAAGAGACAACACAATAAATGTCAGTGGCCCAAGACTGTTCAACTGCCTCCCACCATACACAGAGAGGATTGCTAATAGACCTCCGTCTTCAAGAAGGCACTGGACAGGCACCTAAAGTCAGTACCTGACCACTCGGGCTATGGTTCACATGTCGGTTTGCATGCAGCCATCAGTAACAACCTGGTTGATCAGACCCTGATCCACCCTGAGGCCTAGTCACAGACTGGGCTGTGGGGGGTCTTGACCCCCAAAACTCCCTCAAGGTATAACCCTGCAAGCACAACTACGTAGGCACATGTAGACTGGTTAGAGCTGGATTAAGATTTTATAGCCTCTTGGGCTATAGGTACTGTGAGGCCCCTGGGCTACAGGCACTGTGAGGTCCCTGGACTACAGGTACTGTGAGGTCCCTGGGCTACAGGTACTGTGAGGTCCCTAGACTACAAGTACTATGAGGCCCCTAGGCTACAGGTACTATGAAGCCCCTGGGCTACAGGTACTGTGAGGCACCTGGGCTACAGGTACTGTGGGGCCCCTGCACTACAGGTAATGTGGGGCCCCTGGGCTACAGGTAATGTGGGGCCCCTGGGCTGCAGGTAATGTGGGGCCCCTGGGCTACAGGTACTGTGGGGCCCCTAGGCTACAGGTAATGTGGGGCCCCTGGGCTACAGGTAATGTGGGGCCCCTGGGCTACAGGTAATGTGGGGCCCCTAGGCTACAGGTAATGTGGGGCCCCTAGGCTACAGGTAATGTGGGGCCCCTGGGCTACAGGTACTGTGGGGCTCCTAGGCTACAGGTAATGTGGGGCCCCTGGGCTACAGGTAATGTGGGGCCCCTGGGCTACAGGTACTGTGGGGCCCCTGGGCTACAGGTACTGTGGGGCCCCTGGGCTACAGGTAATGTGGAGCCCCTGGGCTACAGGTACTGTGGGGCCCCTGGGCTACAGGTACTGTGGGGCCCCTAGGCTACAGGTAATGTGGGGCCCCTGGGCTACATTACCTGTAGCCCAGGGGCCCAACAGGTACTGTGAGGCCCCTGTACTACAGGTACTGTGAGGCCCCTGGGCTACAGGTACTGTGGGGCCCCTGGGCTACAGGTACTGTGGGGCCCCTGGGCTACAGGTACTGTGGGGCCCCTGGGCTACAGGTACTGTGGGGCCCCTGGGCTACAGGTACTGTGGGGCCCCTGGGCTACAGGTACTGTGGGCCCCTGGGCTACAGGTAATGTAGCCCAGGGGCCCCACATTACCTGTAGCCCAGGGGCCCCACAGGTACTGTGAGGCCCCTGTACTACAGGTACTGTGGGACCCCTGGGCTACAGGTACTGTGGGGCCCCTGGGCTACAGGTACTGTGGGGCCCCTGGCTACAGGTACTGTGGGGCCCCTGGGCTACAGGTAATGTGGGGCCCCTGGGCTACAGGTACTGTGGGGCCCCTGGGCTACAGGTACTGTGGGGCCCCTGGGCTACAGGTACTGTGGGGCCCCTGGGCTACAGGTAATGTGGGGCCCCTGGGCTACAGGTACTGCAGGGCCCCTGGGCTACAGGTAATGTGGGGCCCCTGGGCTACAGGTACTGTGGGGCCCCTGGGCTACAGGTAATGTGGGGCCCCTGGGCTACAGGTACTGCAGGGCCCCTGGGCTACAGGTAATGTGGGGCCCCTGGGCTACAGGTAATGTGGGGCCCCTGGGCTACAGGTACTGTGGGGCCCCTGGGCTTCAGGTAATGTGGGGCCCCTGGGTTACAGGTACTGTGGGGCCCCTGGGCTACAGGTAATGTGGGCCCCCTGGGCTACAGGTACTGTGGGGCCCCTGGGCTACAGGTACTGTGGGGCCCCTGGGCTACAGGTACTGTGGGGCCCATGGCAGAGGCAGCTGGCAGAGGCCCTCCAGCTGGCAGAGGCCCTCCAGCTGGCAGAGGCCCTCCAGCTGGCAGAGGCCCTCCAGCTGGCAGAGGCCCTCCAGCTGGCAGAGGCCCTCCAGCTGGCAGAGGCCCTCCATTTAGCAGAGGCCCTCCAGCTGGCAGAGGCCCTCCAATTGGCAGAGGCCCTCCAGCTGGCAGAGGCCCTCCAGCTGGCATAGGCCCTCCAGCTGGCAGAGACCCTCCAGCTGGCAGAGACCCTCCAGCTGGCAGAGGCATTCCAGCTGGTGGAGGCCCTCCAGCTGGCAAAGGCCTTCCAGCTGGTGGAGGCCCTCAAGCTGGCAGAGGCCCTGGATATACATGGATATACAGTACCAGTAAGCCAGCAGCTGCATCACCATGGATATACAATACCAGTAAGCCAGCAGCTGCATCACCATGGATATACAGTACCAGTAAGCCAGCAGCTGCATCACCATGGATATACAGTACCAGTAAGCCAGCAGCTGCATCACCATGGATATACAATACCAGTAAGCCAGCAGCTGCATCACCATGGATATACAGTACCAGTAAGCCAGCAGCTGCATCACCATGGATATACAGTACCAGTAAGCCAGCAGCTGCATCACCATGGATATACAGTACCAGTAAGCCAGCAGCTGCATCACCATGGAAATACAATACCAGTAAGCCAGCAGCTGCATCACCATGGATATACAGTACCAGTAAGCCAGCAGCTGCATCACCATGGATATACAGTACCAGTAAGCCAGCAGCTGCATCACCATGGATATACAGTACCAGTAAGCCAGCAGCTGCATCACCATGGATATACAATACCAGTAAGCCAGCAGCTGCATCACCATGGATATACAGTACCAGTAAGCCAGCAGCTGCATCACCATGGATATACAGTACCAGTAAGCCAGCAGCTGCATCACCATGGATATACAGTACCAGTAAGCCAGCAGCTGCATCACCATGGATATACAATACCAGTAAGCCAGCAGCTGCATCACCATGGATATACAGTACCAGTAAGCCAGCAGCTGCATCACCATGGATATACAGTACCAGTAAGCCAGCAGCTGCATCACCATGGATATACAGTACCAGTAAGCCAGCAGCTGCATCACCATGGATATACAGTACCAGTAAGCCAGCAGCTGCATCACCATGGATATACAGTACCAGTAAGCCAGCAGCTGCATCACCATGGATATACAGTACCAGTAAGCCAGCAGCTGCATCACCATGGATATACAATAGCAGTGAGCCAGCAGCTGCATCACCATGGACATACAATACCAGTAAGCCAGCAGCTGCATCACCATGGATATACAGTACCAGTAAGCCAGCAGCTGCATCACCATGGATATACAGTACCAGTAAGCCAGCAGCTGCATCACCATGGATATACAGTACCAGTAAGCCAGCAGCTGCATCACCATGGATATACAGTACCAGTAAGCCAGCAGCTGCATCACCATGGATATACAGTACCAGTAAGCCAGCAGCTGCATCACCATGGATATACAGTACCAGTAAGCCAGCAGCTGCATCACCATGGATATACAATAGCAGTGAGCCAGCAGCTGCATCACCATGGACATACAATACCAGTAAGCCAGCAGCTGCATCACCATGGATATACAGTACCAGTAAGCCAGCAGCTGCATCACCAATGAGAGTACAAAGTTACATCTGTTAATGATCCTGGGAATCATTGCCCTGACAACCTGGTCTCAGACTACCTGGTGGTCTCAGACTACCTGGTGGTCTCAGACTACCTGGTCTCAGACTACCTGGTGGTCTCAGATTACCTGGTCTCAGACTACCTGGTGGTCTCAGACTACCTGGTGGTCTCACACTACCTGGTGGTCTCAGACTACCTGGTGGTCTCACACTACCTGGTGGTCTCACACTACCTGGTGGTCTCACACTACCTGGTGGTCTCAGACTACCTGGTGGTCTCAGACTACCTGGTGGTCTCAGACTACCTGGTGGTCTCAGACTACCTGGTGGTCTCAGACTACCTGGTGGTCTCAGACTACCTGGTGGTCTCAGACTACCTGGTGGTCTCAGACTACCTGGTGGTCTCAGACTACCTGGTGGTCTCAGATTACCTGGTGGTCTCAGACTACCTGGTGGTCTCAGACTACCTGGTGGTCTCAGACTACCTGGTCTAAAGTACAAAGCAAGTATTACAAGAATAAGAACTACAGTAAGAAAGTAAAATAAGCTTGTACTGAGGTACAAGTGTTAGACTTTCCAATCATTTTAAATATTTATAAGACAGAAAGAAAAGATAAGCAGTTGTGCCAGGCATACAAAGCAATTATCAGGCTCCCTAAATTGTGGGTTCTTAACATTTTTGCTATTACAGACCCCGATGGACTGCCCAGTATGTGTCGATACCCCCTTCACCAGACTGGAAATTATCACTACCAGTCCTATTAGGTACCAGTATGACTTCAAAAGAAGTCAACAGCTTGGCTTTACTTTATATATGGATAGCTAGCAACACAACAGCTGAAAGAAAATCATAGGGATATTATCATATTTATTCATAGAAAAATGGCAAACTGTTCAGAGATCAAGTTCCTGACATATTCCAAGAGTCTGTGAGCTGACAGAGCTCTTGTAATAACCAGTAGCTCCACAGTGATCCACGAACCACAGTGATCCACGGCCCAGTGATCCACAAAACACAGTGACCCACAAACCACAGTGACCCACAAACCACAGTGACCCACAAACCACAGTGATCCATGACCCACAGTGATCCACGACCTACAGTCATCCACGAACCACAGTGATCCACAACCCACAGTGATCCACGACCCACAGTCATCCATGAACCAGTGATCCACAACCCATAGTGATCCACGACTCACAGGCGCACGATAAGTTTTCTCATACCTTACATAAAACAACAACACATTTCTCAATGCCACATTAACTTTCTTTATTATTTCCTTGCAAAGTATACAATGTTTGATTTACATGTCATAAAGTATTCTTAAGTATTAAAAGCCACTAACATGTCTCAGCAGCAAGCACATTAAACAAGTAAGAAGTGTGTATATACCATATATACCATTAATAACAGTTGTATGTATGTGTATACCATTAACAATAGCTGTGTGAATGTGTGTATACCATTAATAATAGTTGTGTGTGTGTGTGTACACCATGAACAATAGCTGCCTGTACATGTGTGTACCATTAACCCTTAAACTGTCCGAACGTAGATCTACGTTTGTGCGCGTAGCGCTCCGACCTTAATTTTCTCCATAAGAAACAATGTAAAAAAAACGTAGATTTACATTCGGAGCACTACGCATGCGAACATAGATCTACGTTTGGACAGTTTAAGGGTTAAAATAGCCATCTTGTACATGAACTTGACACAGAATAATAAGAGAGGAATAATAACAGGGATGCACAACCCACCTTGGCCATCTTAGAGAGGAGATCTTGTCGTTCTTTCTCAAGAACTTCTGTTTCTTGTCTGACGGAGTCTGTCATGTCTAACATGTGTTTCTCTAACTCTGCCATCTTCTCTCGTCGATTCGTCATCCTCTCTTTCAACTCGGCAATCTGCACGTGTACATGATGCATAATTTTTTTTTTTTTGACACGAATTAGTTTCACAAGATTTTGTACAGTTTATACTTTACAATATACAGGCACTCCTCAATTTGCGACGGGGTTATGTTCCGACAAACCCATCTTAGAAATTGAAAACATTGTAAGTCGAATATGATATGCTAAATAAGTAAATAAATAACTACTGTAACTAAATACCAGTACTGAAAAGTAAAAAATTAATACTGAATAAGTAAATAAATAATTACTGTAACTAAATACCAGTACTGAAAAGTAAAAAATTAATACAAGTTACAGACTTGCCACCTTCATGCTGGGTAATTATCTTAACTAAGTTTCACCTCTGCAGTAATTGTTTTTACATCATCGTAAAGTCAAAATATTGTAAGTCGAACCATCTTAAGTCAAGCAGCATTTGTACACACTTCATAAAATATTTTTAAATCTTTGTTGCAGTTTTAAAGGATGGCAGCACTGGTTATTAGAGTAAACATTAATATCTGTGCTCACCTCCTTATTGAGTTCCTCTCTCTCTGCCTCACGATGAGCTTCCGCTTCCATCTGGTGGAACTCTGTGTCTTCAAACACCTGAAGTAACACAAAGTAGATGATACAAGTAAAATGCTGACATCTACATAAAACAAACAATTTATGTCATAGTAATAATAAGAGTAATAATAAGAGTAATAATAATAATAATAAAAATAATAAAAATAAAATAATAATAATAATAATAATAATAATAATAAAAATAATAATAATAAAAATAATAATAATAATAATAATAATAATACCTGATGAACCAGGTCAAGAAGAACCTCTATAATAATAATAATAATAATAATAATAATAATAATAATAATAATAATAAAAATAAAAAAAAATAATAATAATAATAATAATAATAATAATAATAATAATAATAATAATAATACCTGATGAACCAGGTCAAGAACCTCTATAATAATAATAATAATAATAATAATAAAAAAAAAAAATATAATAATAATAATAATAATAATAATAATAATAAATAATAATAATACCTGATGAACAAGGTCAAGAAGAACCTCTATAATAATAATAATAATAATAATAATAATAATAATAATAATAAAAAAAAAATAATAATAATAATAATAATAATACCTGATGAACCAGGTCAAGAAGAACCTCTATAATAATAATAATAATAATAATAATAATAATAATACCTGATGAACCAGGTCAAGAACAACCTCTATAATAATAATAATAATAATAATAATAAAAATAATAATAATACCTGATGAACCAGGTCAAGAACCTCAATAATAATAATAATAATAATAATAATAATAATAATAATAATAATACCTGATGAACCAGGTCAAGAACCTCTATAATAATAATAATAATAATAATAATAATAATAATAATAATAATAATAATAATAATAATAATAATAATAATAATAATACCTGATAAACCGGGTCAAGAAGAACCTCTATAATCAACTGACAATTTAAATTTTTTTTTGTGGACTTTTGAGAAAACTTACACAAATATCCCGTAAAAAGGAGAAAGAAACTTACAATTATGTTTGAATCTGACTTGGACCATTAACTAGTCAGTTTCTTTCCTATATGTTCGCATTATTTGAGTAATGTTCCAATCCCAGTATTGTGCCTCTGTTTTTATGAGAAAACGTATAGAGTTGAGAGAAAGTCTGATACAGAGGTTTCCTATATGCAAACACATTACTTTCCTTGTGCCTCAACTGACAAGAACATTACTTTCCTTGTGCCTCAACTGACAAGCACATTACTTTCCTTGTGCCTCAACTGACAAGCACATTACTTTCCTTGTGCCTCAACTGACAAGCACATTACTTTCCTTGTGCCTCAACTGACAAACACATTACTTTCCTTGTGCCTCAACTGACAAGAACATTACTTTCCTTGTGCCTCAACTGACAAGCACATTACTTTCCTTGTGCCTCAACTGACAAACACATTACTTTCCTTGTGCCTCAACTGACAAACACATTACTTTCCTTGTGCCTCAACTGACAAGCACATTACTTTCCTTGTGCCTCAACTGACAAACACATTACTTTCCTTGTGCCTCAACTGACAAACACATTACTTTCCTTGTGCCTCAACTGACAAGAACATTACTTTCCTTGTGCCTCAACTGACAAGCACATTACTTTCCTTGTGCCTCAACTGACAAACACATTACTTTCCTTGTGCCTCAACTGACAAGAACATTACTTTCCTTGTGCCTCAACTGACAAACACATTACTTTCCTTGTGCCTCAACTGACAAACACATTACTTTCCTTGTGCCTCAACTGACAAGCACATTACTTTCCTTGTGCCTCAACTGACAAACACATTACTTTCCTTGTGCCTCAACTGACAAGAACATTACTTTCCTTGTGCCTCAACTGACAAGCACATTACTTTCCTTGTGCCTCAACTGACAAACACATTACTTTCCTTGTGCCTCAACTGACAAACACATTACTTTCCTTGTGCCTCAACTGACAAGAACATTACTTTCCTTGTGCCTCAACGGACAAACAAGTTGTTAGTACAGAAAACATTAGTATGGACAATGACTATATTATGTCTCACACAAGTTAATACTGCAACTTGACTGCTGTAAAAATGTTACCATTTCTTAAGTGGACTGGTCATAAGTGCAAATGTTTGTAACTTGAGGTGCTCGTAAGTGGAGGACTTTGTGTACATGAAAGTGAGACCTTGTGTACATTAAATGAAAGAAAGTGGGATCTTGCGTACATGAAATAGGACCTCATGTACACGAAACAAGATCTCATGTATAATAAGTGGGACCTTGTGTACAATAAGTCGGACCTCATGTACACGAAGTTGGATTTTCTGTACATGAAGTAGGACCTCGTGTACATGAAACAAGATCTCATGTACAATAAGTGGGACCTTGTGTACAATAAGTTGGACCTCATGTACACGAAGTTGGATTTTCTGTACATGAAGTAGGACCTCATGTACACGAAACAAGATCTCATGTACAATAAGTGGGACCTTGTGTACAATAAGTCGGACCTCATGTACACGAAACAAGATCTCATGTACAATAAGTGGGACCTTGTGTACAATAAGTCGGACCTCATGTATACGAAGTTGGATTTTCTGTACATGAAGTAGGACCTCGTGTACACAAAACAAGATCTCATGTACAATAAGTGGGACCTTGTGTACATGAAATGAGAGGAAGTGGGAGGCTGCCCAGTCTGTTATATAAATGGTTCTCTTGCTTTTGTGTCATGTCTCTAACACTGATTCTCACTTTGCATCAAATAGTCTTTATGAAATTTTAATTTAAACAACTGAACACTAACTCTACACTTAGTTAAAATTACATTCAATAATAAGAATAATGCAAGTACATACGGCATGTACATACGGCGTGCATAGGCACACTTTGTGAACACAGTCATCAGAATAATGCAAGTACTGCATGTGTGTATGCAAGCACACGCACATGTGAACACAGTCATCAGAATAATGCAAGTACTACATGTGGATGGGTCTATGAGAGATGAGGTGAATCATAGAATTGATGAGGGGAAAAGGGTGAGCGGTGCACTTAGGAGTCTGGGATCATCTCCAGCTCTGGGAAAGAGGGGAATGTATGAGAGTATAGTTTTACCAACGCTCTTATATGGGTGTGAAGCATGGGTGATGAATGTTGCAGTGAGGAGAAGGCTGGAGGCAGTGGAGATGTCATGTCTGAGGGCAATGTGTGGTGTGAATATAATGTAGAGAATTTGTAGTTTGGAAGTTAGGAGGAGGTGCGGGATTACCAAAACTGTTGTCCAGAGGGCTGAGGAAGGGTTGTTGAGGTGGTTCGGACATGTAGAGAGAATGGAGCGAAACAGAATGACTTCAAGAGCGTATTGGTCTGTAGTGGAAGGAAGGCGGGGTAGGGGTCGGCCTAGGAAAGGTTGGAGGGAGGGGGTAGAGGAGGTTTTATGTGCGAGGGGCTTGGACTTCCAGTGGGCATGCATGAGCATGTTTGACAGGAGTGAATGGAGACAAATGGTTTTTAATACTTGACGTGCTGTTGGAGTGTGAGCAAAGTAACATTTATGAAGGGATTCAGGGAAACCGGCAGGCCGGACTTGAGTCCTGGAGATGGGAAGTACAGTGCCTGCACTCTGAAGGAGGGGTGTTAATGTTGCAGTTTAAAAACTGCAGTGTAAAGCATCCTTCTGGCAAGACAGTGATGGAGTAAATGATGGTGAAAGTTTTTCTTTTTCGGGCCACCCTGCCTTGGTGGGAATCGGCCAGTGTGATAATAAAAAATAATAAATACTGTATGTGTGTGTATGCAAGCACATGCACACGTTGTGAACACACAATCGGAATAATGCAAGTACTGCATGTGTGTATGCATGCACACGCACACTTGAACTCACAGTCATCAAGTGAGATATAAAACTAGTTTTAGTTCTACCTATTCACGTTTTTCAACCATTAGTAACCAATCTATAGCAACGGCACACGTAACACAACTTCCAAAACAATTCAAATATTTCACAAGTCCAAGCTGTCAAGATGCTGTGAAAAGTTGAACACGCGTAGCATGAAGACAATAACACATGTTACAGAACAAGCTAAACTTGTAAACTTGATAACTTAATCAAGCTGCAATAAAGTTTACAAAGCTCTAAACAGCCAAAATGTCGTTCCAACAAATGCCGATGATTTAGGAAGCTTTTGTCTTGATACTGGTTGGCAACAACGCATATTGACCAGATGTGTAACATGGTGTACGAGCGAGCCTGCACGGATATACACATTACATTTCATTTTAAACACAACAAAACTCTTAAGAAAAAAACGAGCTTGTTTATCACTCGGGCAATGCACGTTTTCAAGACGGATAAGAAACAGGGCTGTGAAAACTTTGATCTCAGCTCTGGGATCTTCTCCAGCTCTGGGATCTTCAGCTCTGGGGTCTTCTCCAGCTCTGGGGTCTTCTCCACCTCCGGGGTCTTCTCTACCTCCGGGGTCTTCTCCACCTCTGGGGTCTTCTCCACCTCTGGGGTCTTCTCCACCTCTGGGGTCTTCTCCACCTCTGGGGTCTTCTCCAGCTCTGGGATCTTCTCCAGCTCTGGGATCTTCTCCAGCTCTGGGATCTTCTCCAGCTCTGGGATCTTCTCCAGCTCTGGGATCTTCTCCAGCTCTGGGATCTTCTCCAGCTCTGGGATTTTCCCAGTTCTGAGATATTCCCCATCTCTGAGATATTCTTAGGCTCTGAGATCTCCAGCTCTGGGAACTTCTCCAGCTCTGGGATCTTCTCCAGTTCTGGGATCATCTCCAGCTCTGGGATCATCTCCAGCTCTGGGATCTTCTCCAGCTCTGGGATCTTCTCCATCAGTTTGTGAATTTTTTGAGTGATTGACAAGTGTGACATTACATATTTGTACTTTTTGCACGTTTAAACCCCTGAAATATGAGTAAGAAGAGCAAATGTTGCAACTTATTTTGACGAGATATGCTACAGCCGGTCCCACTTTAACACACCAAGTTACAAACATCCACACTTACAAAGCACTTAGGAACCACTTAAAGTTTATAAGTGCCAAGCCACAGTACAAATACGTGTGAAACATAACCATCATTGTTCTCTATACAAACAACTTGCTTCTAGCATATAAGAAACTAATTTGTATGTTTCAGACCACCTGTACATACACTCAAGCATTTTAAAACAGTTGTCAGTCATTGAGCACATCTTGCACAAGGGATTACATACAGTGCTGGTTCTATATGAAGTGCTGGTTCTTAACAGTACAGGAGAGCCAAGACTGTCTGTCCACACATCAACACCTATCATGCTCTACACAAGTCACAACTTACTTTTTTGGCCTTCTTCCACCGAATATAGTAAAAAAAAAACTGTAAGTTGGACAAAAGTGTTAGAATTGTTACATGGCAAGTATTACTGGCAAATAATAATGTAGTCAGTATCAGTTTGCTTATTTATTTCAAAACTAGTTTGAGCATGAACAGTAAGACTCCAGTAGGGTAGAAAATTTAAACATAAAAGAAATTGACTCAAATTAAGTTGTAATGAGCAAATGTCAATGAATAAACAGAAAGGTGGATGAAAGGCTTGAACTGTGGTTCACAAAGTGACAGTCTGATGCTCTGCCGTCTCAACTACCCAGGTCTCTGTTCACAAAGTGACAGTCTGATGCTCTGCCGTCTCAACTACCCAGGTCTCTGTTCACAAAGTGACAGTCTGATGCTCTGCCGTCTCAACTACCCAGGTCTCTGTTCACAAAGTGACAGTCTGATGCTCTGCAGTCTCAACTACCCAGGTCTCTGTTCACAAAGTGACAGTCCGATGCTCTACCGTCTCAACTACCCAGGTTTCGGTTCCCAAAGTGACAGTCCGATGCTCTACCATCTCAACTACCCAGGTCTCTGTTCACAAAGTGACAGTCTGATGCTCTACCGTCTCAACTACCCAGGTTTCGGTTCCCAAAGTGACAGTCCGATGCTCTACCGTCTCAACTACCCAGGTCTCTGTTCACAAAGTGACAGTCCGATGCTCTACCGTCTCAACTACCCAGGTTTCGGTTCCCAAAGTGACAGTCCGATGCTCTACCGTCTCAACTACCCAGGTCTTGGTTCACAAAGTGACAGTCTGATGCTCTACCGTCTCAACTACCCAGGTCTCTGTTCACAAAGTGACAGTCTGATGCTCTACCATCTCAGCTACCCAGGTGTCTGTTCACAAAGTGACAGTCTGATGCTCTACCGTCTCAACTACCCAGGTCTCTAATAGGAAGGAATCGGAACTATTTTCTTTCTTTCAACACACCAGCCATATCCCACCAAGGCAGGGTGGCCCAAAAAGAAAAACGAAAGTTTCTCTTAAATTTAGTAATTTATATGGGAGAAGGGGCTACTAGCCCCTTGCTCCCGGCATTTTAGTCACCTCTTACAACACGCATGGCTTACGGAGGAAGAATTCTGTTCCACTTCCCCATGGAGATAAGAGGAAATAAACAAGAACAAGAACTAGAAAGAAAATAGAAGAAAACCCAGAGGGGTGTGTATATATATGCTTGTACATGTATGTGTAGTGTGACCTAGGTGTAAGTAGAAGTAACAAGACATACCTGAAATCTTGCATGTTTATGAGACAAAAAATCTTGCATATTTATGAGACAGAAAAAAGGACACCAGCAATCCTACCATCATGTAAAACAATTACAGGTTTTCGTTGTACACTCACTTGGCAGGATGGTAGTACCTCCCTGGGTGGTTGCTGTCTACCAACCTACTACCTAGGACCAATATTACTTACTGTATTATATTTCATCAGAGGCACCAACTGTAACCCAACTGAAATCCTTCCTTCAGCCCAGGAGCTTTAGCAGTAGATCTATTCTTCAACAGCTCTACTGTTAAAGCTCCTGGGTTGAAGGAAGGATTTCAGTTGGGTCATAGTTGGTGCCTCTGACGGAATACAATACAGTAAGTAATAGTCGAGATGGTAGAGCGTCAAACTGTCACTTTGTGGATCACGGTTCAAGCCCCTCACCTACTATTTATTCATAAAAGAAAGGTGTATATATCTCACTCAGTCTCTCTCTACATCAAAGCTGCTGAAGAAGGTCTCTCATTAAGGCAGAAATATATATGTTCAGAGTTTCACTTTTTTGTCCAAGTGGATTTTTTTACTTCTCATCACTATTTATGACACTTTCCTGCAAGAAGCAGTCTCACACTCCATTATCTTAATATTCTTTCTTTCTTTCAACACACCGGCAGTATCCCACCGAGGCGGGGTGGCCCACCGAGGCGGGGTGGCCCACCGAGGCGGGGTGGCCCACCGAGGCGGGGTGACCCAAAAGGAAAAACGAAAGTTTCTCCTTTTACATTTAGTAATATATACAGGAGAAGGGGTTACTAGCCCCTTGCTCCCTATCTTAATATTATTTATTATAATATTACATCTATTTTTTTTAACAATGAAAAGCTAAATGTCCATTTACACTATTTAAAAATCTAATTTTCATTTTTTCTTTATAAATATTAAGGAATACAGAGATAGACAGTATAATAACCTATGTGACATGTCAAGATATCTTATTAATGGAAATAAGATACCAGATATACTAAGCAAACTTCCCACATTTGCTTGTAATAGATAACCAAACTATAGATGTGTAAACAAACCATACCACGGGAGGGATTGAACCCGCGGTCAGAGAGACTCTGACCGCGGGTTCAATCCCGCCCGTGGTATGGTTTGTTTGCAATCGTGCCATTACGATTTCATGAGTCATGTAGATGTGTAGATATAAATCCAAATGTACACCTGCTAATTCTTTCAAGGCCTAGTTCATAGGCCTTTTGTGTATCCATATGCTCTTGCACTACCATCCACAGGATGGATATGGGGTGCACAATAAATTAGCCACTTCAGTGGCAAAATCTAATCTTTATAAATATGTGTGTTCCATAGCGTTATTGTAGAAGACATAAATTTTGCTTATGCTCAATAATAAACCACATGGGGACACAAACTCAGAAGACTGATTGATCTGTATATTTCAGTCCGCTTCTGGGATCTTCAGGATCCCAGAAGTGGATCAAAATATATACAGATCAATCGATCCTCTAAATTTGTGTCTCCATGTGGGTTATTACTGACTACTGATAAGCAGTGGCAGACCTACATTTGTGAACTGTTATGGAGGTTCTTTCACAACCTCCTCTCATACAGTCTCTTCTCAAAGATCACTTACTCACCCAAAACCAAATAAATACCGAATAACTGAACCTTATAAATTGTATATCTTAAATGTTTCTCACAATTATATCACATAAATGTTAAACCTAAGACCCAATCTAACTTTGTTATTTTTTAAATACACTACCTAACAGAATACTCCATTCTACTGAATGTACAGCAATGCAAGCAACCATATGACCTGTCTTTGTAATACTCATTTGTGCTTTATTGTTATCTGTTTACAATAATGTTTTATCACTGATTACATCATTGCTTAGTTAATCTTAAGTTAATTTTAAGCCAGCCCGTAATGCTATGCACACTGCTCTTACCTGGATTTTTTTGTACCTCTGTATGTATGTTCAAATAATTAAATAAATAAATAAATAAATAAATAAATAAATAAACAGTAGACCAAAAATTTTTAATCGATGTGAACTAAAGTGACTTTTGGGGCCCCTCTGGGTTTAGAGCCCATCAAGCTTAAGCTTCATTGCTTTCATAAGTAGATCTGCCCCTGGCTATAAGTGTCCATTACACTATTATCTGCTTCTTATTCTTATATCTATGGTGAAGTGCTAAATCAGTAGGGGTCAAACAGCACCTTAGGAACGTGAGGTAATAAGATTTGATCCAGGGAAGGGGAAGGTAGCTCTATATTCCTGCATCAAAGAGCTCTTCACAAATATTAAAACATTCCTTCTGAAGAAGATTTTTATCTACAATGTATACATTCCATAAATGAATATGTACGAGTACATATTTGTGTGTGTCTGAACGAGTACATATTGTGCGTGTATGTACGAGTACATATTGTGCATGTGTGTAAGAGTTCATGTTAAGTGTGTGTATGCAAAAGTACATATTAAGTGTGTGTATGTACAGTGTTGGGCTAGTAACCCCTTCTCCTGTATTTTTTTTTTATCACACTGGCCGATTCCCACCAAGCCAGGGTGGCCTGAAAAAGAAAAACTTTCACCATCATTGTCTTGCCAGAAGGGTGCTTTACACTACAGTTTTTAAACTGCAACATTAACACCCCTCCTTCAGAGTGTAGGCACTGTACTTCCCATCTCCAGGACTTAAGTCCGGCCTGCCGGTTTCCCTGAACCCCTTCATAAATGTTACTTTGCTCACACTCCAACAGCACGTCAAGTATTAAAAACCATTTGTCTCCATTCACTCCTATCAAACATGCTCACGCATGCCTGCTGGAAGTCCAAGCCCCTCGCACACAAAACCTCCTTTACCCCCTCCCTCCAACCCTTCCTAGGCCGACCCCTACCCCGCCTTCCTTCCACTACAGACTGATACACTCTTGAAGTCACTCTGTTTCGCTCCATTCTCTCTACATGTCCGAACCACCTCAACAACCCTTCCTCAGCCCTCTGGACAACAGTTTTGGTAATCCCGCACCTCCTCCTAACTTCCAAACTATGAATTCTCTGCATTATATTCACACCACACATTGCCCTCAGACATGACATCTCCACTGCCTTCTCCTCACTGCAACATTCATCACCCATGCTTTACACCCATATAAGAGCGTTGGTAAAACTATACTCTCATACATTCCCCTCTTTGCCTCCAAGGACAAAGTTCTTTGTCTCCACAGACTACTAAGTGCACCACTCACCCTTTTCCCCTCATCAATTCTATGATTCACCTCATCTTTCATAGACCCATCTGCTGACACGTCCACTCCCAAATATCTGAATACATTCACCTCCTCCATACTCTCTCCCTCCAATCTGATATCCAATCTTTCATCACCTAATCTTTTTGTTATCCTCATAACCTTACTCTTTCCTGTATTCACTTTTAATTTTCTTCTTTTGCACACCCTACCAGATTCATCCACCAATCTCTGCAACTTCTCTTCAGAATCTCCCAAGAGCACAGTGTCATCAGCAAAGAGCAACTGTGACAACTCCCACTTTATGTGTGATTCTTTATCTTTTAACTCAACGCCTCTTGTCAAGACCCTCGCATTTACTTCTCTTACAACCCCATCTATAAATATATTAAACAACCACGGTGACATCACACATCCTTGTCTAAGGCCTACTTTTACTGGGAAATAATTTCCCTCTTTCCTATGTACTCTAACTTGAGCCTCACTATCCTCGTAAAAACTCTTCACTGCTTTCAGTAACCTACCTCCTACACCATACACCTGCAACATCTGCCACATTGCCCCTATCCACCCTGTCATACGCCTTTTCCAAATCCATAAATGCCACAAAGACCTCTTTAGCCTTATCTAAATACTGTTCACTTATATGTTTCACTGTAAACACCTGGTCCACACACCCCCTACCTTTCCTAAAGCCTCCTTGTTCATCTGCTATCCTATTCTCAGTCTTACTTTTAATTCTTTCAATAATAACTCTACCATACACTTTACCAGGTATACTCAACAGACTTATCCCCCTATAATTTTTGCACTCTCTTTTGTCCCCTTTGCCTTTATACAAAGGAACTATGCATGCTCTCTGCCAATCCCTAGGTACCTTACCCTCTTCCATACATTTATTAAATAATTGCACCAACCACTCCAAAACTAAATCCCCACCTGCTTTTAACATTTCTATCTTTATCCCATCAATCCCGGCTGCCTTACCCCTTTCATTTTACCTACTGCCTCACGAACTTCCCCCACACTCACAACTGGCTCTTCCTCACTCCTACAAGATGTTATTCCTCCTTGCCCTATACACGAAATCACAGCTTCCCTATCTTCATCAACATTTAACAATTCCTCAAAATATTCCCTCCATCTTCCCAATACCTCTAACTCTCCATTTAATAACTCTCCTCTCCTATTTTTAACTGACAAATCCATTTGTTCTCTAGGCTTCCTTAACTTGTTAATCTCACTCCAAAACTTTTTCTTATTCTCAACAAAATTTGTTGATAACATCTCACCCACTCTCTCATTTGCTGTCTTTTTACATTGCTTCACCACTCTCTTAACCTCTCTCTTTTTCTCCATATACTCTTCCCTCCTTGCATCGCTTCTACTTTGTAAAAACTTCTCATATGCTAACTTTTTCTCCCTTACTACTCTCTTTACATCATCATTCCACCAATCGCTCCTCTTCCCTCCTGCACCCACTTTCCTGTAACCACAAACTTCTGCTGAACACTCTAACACTACATTTTTAACCTACCCCATACCTCTTCGACCCCATTGCCTATGCTCTCAATAGCCCATCTATCCTCCAATAGCTGTTTATATCTTACCCTAACTGCCTCCTCTTTTAGTTTATAAACCTTCACCTCTCTCTTCCCTGATGCTTCTATTCCCCTTGTATCCCATCTACCTTTTACTCTCAGTGTAGCTACAACTAGAAAGTGATCTGATATATCTGTGGCCCCTCTATAAACATGTACATCCTGAAGTCTACTCAACAGTCTTTTATCTACCAATACATAATCCAACAAACTACTGTCATTTTGCCCTACATCATATCTTGTATACTTATTTATCCTCTTTTTCTTAAAATATTTATTACCTATAACTAAACCCCTTTCTATACAAAGTTCAATCAAAGGGCTCCCATTATCATTTACACCTGGCACCCCAAACTTACCTACCACACCCTTTCTAAAAGTTTCTCCTACTTTAGCATTCAGATCCCCTACCACAATTACTCTCTCACTTGGTTCAAAGGCTCCTATACATTCACTTACCATCTCCCAAAATCTCTCTCTCTCCTCTGCATTCCTCTCTTCTCCAGGTGCATACACACTTATTATGACCCACTTTTCGCATCCAACCTTTACTTTAATCCACATAATTCTTGAATTTACACATTCATCTCCTGTATATATTACTAAATGTACAAGGAGAAACTTTCGTTTCTCCTTTTAGGCCACCCCGCCTCGGTGGGATACAGCCGGTGTGTTGAAAGAAAGAAAGATGTACGGCATTATGTTCTAACACTCTTAAGATTTAGTTTACCAGAAATACTCTGCATAACCAGGAGCTTCAATGTATTCTATTAAATGTTATTTAATCTTATAAAAACTGTGTATAGTAGTTCCCATATGTATCAGCAGGTGATACATTCCAAGACCTTCTGTGGATACCCGAAATTGTGCATAGTAGCGAACCCTATATATACCTCACTTTTCATTTACATACATACCTACAGTAGTTTAACCCGTAAATGGTCCAAACGTATATATACATTTTTTCAACATTTGAAAGTATGTAAAAAAAGTAATTTTTTTTTTTTTTACATTTGAAAATGTGAAAAAAAAAAACTTCGATTTACTTTTTTTTTTTTGTTATATTTGAAAATATGTCAAAAAAATGTAGATCTACTTTGGAGCACTACACATGTGAACGTAGATCTGCTTGGACCGTTTACAGGTTAACTGATAAATTATACACAGTAAGTGGAGAAGTAGCACTTTATCACTGATGGGAAACACTTCACAGCTTCACATAGGCTTTGAAAAACTGTCACCATCACTACTATTGTACTTTAGGGCCATTATTAAGGGTTATTTTCAGGCCATGGTAAACAATGGCCTGAAAATAACCAGATCCGTAGATACAGGGTTCTACTGTAACTTGAAGATAAAATATTTATTATATTATAAAAGCAAGGACATCACAATTCAGATTAATGCTGCACGTTATATTAAGTACTGCTTGTTTCATGCCAGGTTATGATGATTATGCAGCACTAAATGCTGCTGGCAGCAACAGCCAAGTTAACCAGGCTATCAGCAACGAAGTCTGGTCTCAGATCCAGCTTCAAGAGTTGAATAACTGAAAGCCAGTCAGACGTACATCACAGAGAAGAGGAATCCTCACCTTTCGTTCCGCTTCAACTGCCTCATGCTGGGCTTTCAGTGTCTCCAGCATCTCGGTCTCTTCGTCCGTTGTTCCGTTAAAGTTTTCACTCTTCCCTTCCAGCTGATCCAGTTCTCTCTCTGCCTCTTCCAGACGACATCGACATGCCTGAGACCAGCCAATCAGAAAACAATGAGTGAGGAAGAGTAAAGAGAAGATGGAGGTTGTTGAGGGCAAAGTAAGAAGTGAAGGTAGGAAGTGAAGAAGATAGCAGTGCATAAAAGGCCACCATCACAAATGACAAACGAGTCGAAAAAATTTAACCATATTACTTTAAACCATTGAAAAGAACAAAGAAAAACTGCATGGGCCTATAGGGAAAACAACAAAGCAGCACAGGCCTACTGGACTGTTTCTGAGGCTTAAGAAAAGAAATATACTTCGTGTCTAATAAGCCCAACTTGCCGAATAGGCCGAACTCCCTTAAAAACTGGACTCTTTCAAAAAAAATTTTATAGATTGAAAGAAAGGAATTTTTCATTAACAATGATGTAAAAAAATATTTTTGGACCATTAAATCATTTTTTTAACATGCTGGCCATCTCCCACTGAGGCAGCAGAGTGACCCAAAAAAGAGACACTTTCACCATCATTCACACTATCACTGTCTTGCCAGCGGTGCACAGATACGACAGTTTAGATGTCCCACCAAACAGTAAATATCCCAAACCCCTCCTTTAAATTACAACTTCATAAATATTACAATATAAAATAAAGGAAAGGAAAAAAAATATGTCACAGCCCACCTCAATAGCTTCATGGTGATGGTGTCTCTCCTGCTGACAACGTTCCTCTAGTTCGTTACTTCTCAGTAACAGTGCTGATAATCTCTCCTCGTCCAGTGTCATTTTCTCTCTCAGAGGCACTAACTCTCCCTCCAATAATGCTCTCTCAACCTCGAGCTGAGTAAAGAGTAAAACACAATTTGATTAAGGATTTTTGCCCCTGACAGCTGTGTCTATAAAATTTCTTGTAAAAAATGCAATAAAGGTTATTTTGGTCAAACTGGAAAAAGTCTTGAACTAAGATTTCAATAACTAATATAATAACTAATAATACTTTATATGCAAGTCCTGACATACAAAGCAGATCTTTATACTGTATACAAACTTACAACAAGAAATTAAATCATAAAGGTGTATAAAATATAAAGAATTCAATTATTATACATTATATATACAGGGTAATATTTAGTGAAGGGATTCAGGGAAACCGGTTATTTTTATATAGCCGGACTTGAGTCCTGGAAATGGGAAGTACAATGTCTACACTCTAGAGGAGGAGGTTCGGGATATTGGCAGTTTGGAGGGATATGTTGTGCATCTTTATATGTATATGCTTCTAAGCTGTTGTGTTCTGGGCACCTCTGCAAAAACAGTGATTATGTGTGAGTGAGGTGAAAGAGTTGAATGATGATGAAAGTATTTTCTTTTTGGGTATTTTGTTTCTTTTTGGGTCACCCTGCCTCGGTGGGAGATGGCCAACTTGTTAAAAAAAAAAAATACATATACAGTAGAACCCCCGTATCTACTGATTCGGTATCTTAGGTTTCAGTTATCTAGTTTACTATAGCCCAAAAATGGCCCTTAATTTTGTTTAATAATGGCCCCAGAGTGTGAAAATAGTGGTGGTGGCAGTTCTTCAAAACCTAAGAGAAGCTGTGAAATGCTTCCCATCAGTGAAAAAGTGCAATTCTAGACATATTTTGAATAATTTATCAATTAAACTTTATCATAGGTATGTTTTTTTTTTTTTTTTTTTTTTTTTTTCAACAAGTCGGCCGTCTCCCACCGAGGCAGGGTGACCCAAAAAAGAAAGAAAATCCCCAAAAAGAAAATATTTTCATCATCATTCAACACTTTCACCACACTCGCACATTATCACTGTTTTTGCAGAGGTGCTCAGAATACAACAGTCTAGAAGCATAAACATATAAAGATACACAACATATCCCTCCAAACTGCCAATATCCCAAACCCCTCCTTTAAAGTGCAGGCATTGTACTTCCCATTTCCAGGACTCAAGTCCGACTATATGAAAATAACCGGTTTCCCTGAATCCCTTCACTAAATATTACCCTGCGCACACTCCAACAGATCGTCAGGTCCCAAGTACCATTCGTCTCCATTCACTCCTATCTAACACGCTCACGCACGCTTGCTGGAAGTCCAAGCCCCTTACTGGCCAGGTTGTAACATCAACATCAACAATCACTTTTTAGGTAGTAGGTTGGTAGACAGCAACCACCCAGGGAGGTACTACCGTCCTGCCAAGTGAGTGTAAAACGAAGCCTGTGATTGTTTTTACATGATGGTAGGATTGCTGATGTCTTTTGTCTGTCTCATAAATATGCAAGATTACAGGCATGTCTTGCTACTTCTACTTACACTTAGGTCACACTACACATAAATGTACACATTTATTTATACACACTCATCTGAGTTTTCTTTGATTTTATCTTAATAGTTCTTGGTCTTATTAATTTTCCTTTTATATCCATGGGAAGTGGAATAAGAATCTTTCCTCCGTAAGCCATGCGTGTTGTAAAAGTCAACTAAAATGCCGGGAACAATGGGCTAGTAACCCCTTTTCCTGTAAAGATTACTAAAAAGAATAAGAAGAAGAAAATTGTCATAGGTATGTATGTAAACAAAAAAATGACATATACAGCCTCTCCTCACTTAGTGATGTACTCATTTACCAACGACTCAGACTTACGATGGGCTCTCTGACCAGTGTGCATACCTAAATAATGTATATTAGAGTGGATTTCCTCTATTCTGTTTATTACAACATACAGTACACTACTGTATAAACATTTAAAAATATACCAGAAATGTTATAAATGGTTCAAAGGTGACATTAAAACAATATCAAAGATGGCTGACACACACCCACTACTATTACAGTATGCTCCTCACTTAGATACGAATCCGTTTACCAACGGAACTCCATCGTTAAGTGAGGAGAGGCTGTATAGGGTTCCCTACTACCCAGGGTAGGTTTTGGAACATATCCCATGGATACAGGGTTCCTACTGTATAGGGAATTGCTTAACCTGTAGGTGTCATACAGCACTTGGGGAATGACAAGTAATCGAGTTTGATCAAAGGAAGAGGAGAGCTCCATTTATTTGAATCAAGACACCTTTGCTATATGAAGGATCTCTCTTATCTCCCATTATCACATCAAGGACCTCTCGTTTCCAATTATTACATCTCGGAGCTCTCTGTCAGAATATTTCAAATATGCTAGCCATGACACCACGGACTCTTCAAAGACTTATGTTAGCATAGTTCAAACCAAGCTGTGACTCTGCCCCGTGCAGGCTAGGGTCGTGTCAGGGCATACCCTGGCAGTTAGACATGTAACCTGGCAGTTAGACACATATCCTGGCAGTTAGATACGTACCCTGGCAATGAGACATGTACCCTGTCAGTTAGACATGTACCCTGGCAGTGAGACATGTACCCTGGCAGACACGTACCCTGGCAGTCAGACATGTGCCCCATCAGTCAGACACGTGCCCTGGCAGACACATACCCTGGCAGTCAGACATGTACCCAGGCAGTCAGACACGTACCCTGGCAGTGAGACATGTACCCTGGCAGTGAGACACGTGTCCTGGCTGTCAGACACGTACCCTGGCAGTGAGGCATGTATCCTGGCAGTCAGACACGTACCCTGACAGTGAGACATGTACCTTGGCAGTCAAGACATGTGTCCTGGTAGTCACACACATACCCTGGCAGTCAGACATGTACCCCAGCAGTGAGACATGTACCCTGGCAGTCAAGACATGTGTCCTGGCAGTCAGACGCATGTCCTGGTACTGAGACATGTACCCTGGCAGTGAGGCATGTACCCTGGCAGTCAGACACATGCCCTGGCAGTCAAGACATGTGCCCTGTCATTCAGACACATGCCCTGGCACTGAGACACGTACCCTGGAAGTCGAGACGTAAGACGGCAGGCTGGGCTTCCAACTGTGTACAGTGGACCCCCGGTTAACGATATTTTTTCACTCCAGAAGTATGTTCAGGTGCCAGTACTGACCGAATTTGTTCCCGTAAGAAATATTGTGAAGTAGATTAGTCCATTTCAGACCCCCAAACATACATGTACAAACGCACTTACATAAATACACTTACATAATTGGTCGCATTCGGAGGTAATCGTTATGCGGGGGTCCACTGTATATACTCAATATATTACTGTATAACAGACACAGTGAGTTTATCATTGACCATCACTCCACTTAAGAACCCTTACAACATCTTGTCTCCATTATCACATCAAGGACCTGCCTCATTCCCCATTACTACATCAAGGACTTCTCTTCTTCCCCATTACCACATCATGGACCTTTCTTCCCCTTTCCCCCATCAAGGTACAATTTAGCATTGGTGATTTTGCCCACTTAAGAGTCCTATTTTAAGTCAGTTCCTTTGTTCCATTCAACCAAACTAAGCTATTATGCTAATACAGTGGACCCCCACTTTACGATCACCTCCCAATGTGACCAATTATGTAAGTGCGTTTGTACGTGTATGTTTGGGGTCTGAAATGGACTAATCTAATTCACAATATTCCCTATGGGAACAAATTCGTTCAGTACTGGTACCTGAACATACTTCTGGAATGAAATAATATCGTAAACCGGGGGTCCACTGTACATCTTACATTCCGTCGACTGACCATAAGTGCACAGAAATCAGTAATTTAGTAAATTTTACAGAAAATTAAAAAAAAATACCAATTTAGAGTGCAAAAATGAACAATGTAGACATTCATGGCAGTAAAACATTTGCTTTATTCATTAATCACATCCCCGAGGCCTCTCCTATAATACACTTGTCTTCTATTTTAAATTCAAAATTACACAACAATAGAAGATTTACTCCATTTTCACAATAATAAAATATAACCAGGAATGACTGGTCATGGTTTACAGCTTCCCAATAACTGAATCAGACCTGAGTGGCTTCAGTCCTAAAGTGGCTCCTTCAGTCCTAAAGTGGCTCCTTCAGCCCTAAAGTGGCTCCTTCAGCCCTAAAGTGGCTCCTTCAGCCCTAAAGTGGCTCCTTCAGCCCTAAAGTGGCTCCTTTAGCCTTAAAGTGGCTAATTCATTTCTAAAGTGACTCCTTAAGCCCTAAAGTGGCTCTTTCAGCCCTAAAGTGGCTCCTTCAGCCCTAAAGTGGCTCCTTCAGCCCTAAAGTGGCTCCTTCAGCCCTAAAGTGGCTCCTTCAGCCCTAAAGTGGCTCCTTCAGCCCTAAAGTGGCTCCTTCAGCCCTAAAGTGGCTCCTTCAGCCCTAAAGTGGCTCCTTCATCCCTAAAGTGGCTCCTTCAGCCCTAAAGTGGCTTCTTCAGCCCTCAAGGGGCATTTTCAGCCCTAAAGTGGCTTCTTCACTCCTTAGTAGTGAAGAGTCACTCGTGGCAAAGATCCTCCACTAATAAATGTCCTGAAGCGTACATAAGTGTCTTTCCATATTAAATACTGACCTCATCCAAAAGCTGAAGAGACGTATTTTGGTTGTGATATTTAACACTTAAACGGTCCAAATAGATCGACGTTCAAATTCGTAGCGCTCCGAAAGTAGATTATGTTTTTTTACATATTTTCAAATATAAAAAAAAATGTAGATAAAAGTTTTTTTAACACACTTTCAAATGTAAAAAAAAAAAATGATGATGTACATTTTTTTACATACTTTCAAATGTTGAAAAAACGTACATATATGTTTGGAGCGTTTAAGGGTTAAACGGGAATCAAAATTTGACACTACACATAAAAAGATCAAATCTGCACTTACCCACTTGAACTTCACTCTCTGCCATCACTGAATTAGGAGGAACTTTTTATTTAAGCTTTGTTGTTCCAGTTATAGCAAAACAGAGAAAATCAGCTCTAATTATGTATATTAGAGCTGATTTCCTCTATTTTGCTTTTCCAGGATGCTGGCAATGGGCTCAATAAGTTTGGTCATAGGACATCTGCACATGTCAACTGCTCCTGGAACCTGGTCCTCGCTACTGTACACAAACATTCAAAACCGAGACCAAAAGGACGAGGAGTTCTTGAGTTATGAGCAAAAGAAAACCAAAAAATAAAACCAAAAAGAAAAAACTCAATGATCCATTTAAAGTTCTTCTTTGTGGATACTTCTTAACAGTTAGTTGTCAAGTTAAGTTTACATGCTGTAACATGTGCCATAACTTATTATGTTTCATGCTGTAACATGTGCCCTAACTTATTATGTTTCATGCTGTAACATGTGCCCTAACTTATTATGTTTCATGCTGTAACATGTGCCATAACTCATCAATGTCAGCACTTCCATCACATGAATACTACTTAAAATATGGTTCCATGATATGCTTCATGCCATGCCATGTGCAAAAGTTCATCACTGTGATTATTGTACAAATATTCCTCACTTATGAGAGACAGTAAGGCACAGCACAGGAGAGCCCCCCCCCCCATTTTACAGAGCCCCACTTTACAGAGCCCCACTTTACAGAGCCCCATTTCACAGCTCCCCACTTTACAGCACCCCAATTTAAAACATTTAGCTAATGCTGCAGCTTTCAATTATAGCCATTCTTCATTTATTCAGACTTCCTACAACAAATATATTCACCACTCACTATAAGCTAAGGATGAAAATATTTAAAGTAATAAGAACATAACATAAGAAAGAAGGAACACTGCAACAGGCCTATTGACCCATGCTGAGCAGGTCCATGTCCCCCCCCGGATTAGAGCAATGACCCACCCAGTCTGGTCATCCCCACTCAAGGATGGAGCACTGTACCAGACCCAGCAGCACAAGCTAGTCAGGTCCAACTCACATCCACCCACACCCACTCATGTATTTATCTAACCTATTTTTAAAACTACACAACGTTTTGTGTGTGTGTACTGTATATGCACGTTTTAAGCCCAGCTCTGTTGCTCACTCAATATATGATAGTGTAAACAAGCTATCAGGCTTTTATATGCATTTGAAAGTGAAGAAAGGCTATGTTTCACTTTACAGTGGTCGCCTGGAACCTATTATGCAAGTGGGGCCCTGAAGTAGCCTGGAACCTAACCTGCTGTATAAGTGGGGGCTTGCAGTAGTCTGGAACCTAACCTGCTGTATAAGTGGGGGCCTGCAGTAGTCTGGAACCTAACCTGCTATATAAGCAAGGCCCTGCAATAGTCTGGAACCTAACCTGCAGTATAAGCAGGACCCTACAGTAGCCTGGAACCTGACCTGCTGTATAAGCAGGTCCCTACAGTAGCCTGGAACCTAACCTGCTGTGTCAGCGGGGCCTTCCTGTGCACAAGAGACCCTCAACCTTCACATACCACAAGTTCCATACATACCACAAGTTCCAGACATACCACAAGTTCCAGACATCCCACAAGTTCTAGACATACCACAGGTTCCAGACATACCACAAGTTCCAGACATACCACAAGTTCCAGACATACCACAAGTTCCAGACATACCACAAGTTCCAGACATACCACAAGTTCCAGACATCCCACAAGTTCCAGACATACCACAGGTTCCAGACATACCACAAGTTCCAGACATACCACAAGTTCTAGACATACCACAGGTTCCAGACATACCACAAGTTCCAGACATACCACAAGTTCCAGTAACAAAGCCACAGTACAAATGTCTGAAACAATCATCCTCTGTAATACTGTTTTCTATACAAACTTAACTGTATATTGAAGCATGAAAAATGATGCTTATTTGTAAGTTTAAAACTTGTACTAGTATCAAGCTGCCTTCTGTAGTATGTAACCCTGTACCTGTATCAAGTTGCCTCCTGTAGTATGATGTAACCCTGTACCTGTATCAAGCTGCCTCCTGTAGTATGATGTAACCCTGTACCTGTATCAAGTTGCCTCCTGTAGTATGATGTAACCCTGTACTTGTATCAAGCTGCCTCCTGTAGTATGATGTAACCCTGTACCTGTATCAAGCTGTCTCCTGTAGCATGTAACCCTGTACCTGTATCAAGCTGCCTCCTGTAGTATGATGTAACCCTGTACCTGTATCAAGCTGCCTCCTGTAGTATGATGTAACCCTGTACCTGTATCAAGCTGTCTCCTGTAGCATGTAACCCTGTACCTGTATCAAGCTGCCTCCTGTAGTATGATATAACCCTGTACCTGTATCAAGCTGTCTCCTGTAGTATGATGTAACCCTGTACCTGTATCAAGCTGCCTCCTGTAGTATGATGTAACCCTGTACCTGTATCAAGTTGCCTCCTGTAGTATGATGTAACCCTGTACTTGTATCAAGCTGCCTCCTGTAGTATGATGTAACCCTGTACCTGTATCAAGCTGTCTCCTGTAGCATGTAACCCTGTACCTGTATCAAGCTGCCTCCTGTAGTATGATGTAACCCTGTACCTGTATCAAGCTGCCTCCTGTAGTATGATGTAACCCTGTACCTGTATCAAGCTGCCTCCTGTAGTATTATGTAACCCTGTACCTGTATCAAGCTGCCTCCTGTAGTATGATATAACCCTGTACCTGTATCAAGCTGTCTCCTGTAGTATGATGTAACCCTGTACCTGCATCAAGCTGCCTCCTGTAGTATGATGTAACCCTGTACCTGTATCAAGTTGCCTCCTGTAGTATGATGTAACCCTGTACTTGTATCAAGCTGCCTCCTGTAGTATGATGTAACCCTGTACCTGTATCAAGCTGCCTCCTGTAGTATGATGTAACCCTGTACCTGTATCAAGCTGTCTCCTACAGTATGATGTAACCCTGTACCTGTATCAAGCTGTCTCCTGTAGTATGATGTAACCCTGTACCTGTATCAAGCTGCCTCCTGTAGTATGTAACCCTGTACCCAGGGCCGGATTACCGCATAGGCAAACTAGGCATTTGCCTAGGGCCCCGCGCATTTGGGGGCCCCACGGTCCAAGGGGTTCAGGGGCTCATCCCAAGACTGTGCACATGGTGCAAGTACAAAGGGGTCCCTACATAAAAAGTTCAAGTGTTTGGAGAGTAAAATTGATTTTTAAAAATTAATCAAAACAAAAATAAATAATGAAATAAAATAAAATAAAAATAAATAAACCTAACCATAGATGGCAACACTCAACACTCCTTTGTTTACATCAGAACAGCTGTGTTTTCCCGCTAATGGGCGAGTATGGGAGATTCCTCTCCAATTTTCTGTAGTTTATATGATTTGATAGTCTTATGCATGATGCAATGATAACAATAATGGTCAGTGATTTATAAAGGGAATAATAGTGCTGTAGTGGTTATGCTGAATATAATAGGTACATGATGTCACTACTTTAATAGCCTAATCTAGTAATACTATGCTGTCTTGAGTTTATTCTCTTTAAAATGCATGATTTAACAAGATAGTTATAATGGCTGTTGGTAAATGGTTTTGGTTGTCTTGATGTACTTTCCCTATTAAATTTAATCTAAATAGCCAGAATGTATTTAATTAGACCTTAAACAGGCTCACACCGACCCCCCCCCACCCCCAAGCTGGAAGGGGTCACTTCGCTTACCCGTAACTCAAAGGGGCCACGCCAATCTGAATAGCCTTGGGCCCGGAGACCTCTTAATCCGGCCCTGCCTGTACCTGTATCAAGCTGTCTCCTGTAGTATGATGTAACCTTGTACCTTTATACACATAATATTACCCATTCCAGTCATGCAGATGAAATATTACGTAACCTGAGTAACAAAATGAATTGCTAGATTACCGTAGACTGAAACATTACCATAAATAATGTTCATAAAAACACATTTCACTTTCTGAAATGTGAAAATATATGCAAATTTTAAAGAGTGAGTATAAAATTAGTTGTTTTACCTCTCTCAGCGCCTCATCCTCAGTAATTTCTAAATCGGTAATAGTGCGTTTGAGATCTGTCATGGACTGAAGTGCTTCGTTCTTGACTCCCTTGAGACGCTCTATCTCCCCTGGCACATCCTGTTATTAAGGAAGTCATACATGGCAAGTTTAACCTCTTGGTAAACATCAGTAGTTTGTCTGCACAGGTAGACTCTTACTTTGTACACGAATCTTTCCTTTAAAGAACACAACAAGCAAATAAAATTTAACTTTCATGCATAATGACATACAAAAGTGACCAGGAATGTCCATACTCTACATGCAGTAACTTTTATAAACATTTTATCTATAAATTTATGAATATTTTACATATACAGTATATATATATATCACTTTAAAAAAAAAGAGATTTATGTGTCACTTTTCAAAATCCAGTTAATCTAATATACTATTACAGTCTAGATACAAATGCGTAAATCCTCATTATAAATGCATCAAGACAAAATTTGCAAATATGACTTAGTTAGCACACAAAAAATGCATTTTTTTATAATTAACTTACATCAATGTTAAAAGTATCCTGAATATTTTTGATAAGGTGTTCTTCAAACACCTTAGTAGTGGTCCCTCTCCCCTCATCATGATGATGGGCAGGAATTGTTGCTTCATTACCTATCTTCTCTGGACTAGCATACACCCAAGAATCTGCTGAATGATCCAACATACTCTTTGTTAAGGAGTTATTTAGATTATTCTGCACCAAACTTTGTCTATTTTCATGTATATTCGTTGCCTGATCAGTACTTGTTGATATCACTTCATTTTGAATAAAATGATCTTGACATGCCATTGATACATCCTCTCCATTTGAAGTGACTTGTGGACTGGATAAAGAATGTTTCGTGTCACTGTTCATTCTGTTGACTGTTGGAGAATCTCCTAAGACTGATCTCTCTATCCTAGGAGATCTTGGAGGTTTAGGAGGAGCTGGAGTTTCAAGGGAACTCGAGGAGTCAGATCTTGAAAAGGGACTTAAGTTTTCTTTATTTTTTGTACTTTCCTTTTGAGTTCTTGGACTTCGTATTTTCTTTCCATCATTCACTCCCACTTGGAAATCAGATATGGCCATTCTATTTTCTATGATTTCACAATTATCTTTTCTTTCACTTCTTTCTTTACCCACAATGGTCTTGATCCGGGTCCGTGGACTCTGTGGCATGGGGTAAGTGAGGTACGACGAGGTAACGTTTTCATACGGACTTTTAGGACTGTTTGGATTTGTGGTGAGTGATGGGACTTGCAATGGTCCTGTGTTCGGGAATGGAGGATAATTTGGCAATGTCCCACTTCTGAAAGACGAATATTTAAATATTAATTGGCATATCATGTCATTATCAATAGTGTACTGTATTTCTTATCTAGAAATATATAAATAGTAGGCAAGGTTTCGATTAAAGTTATATCCTGCAGGTAGTCTGCACCTTGTTTTGTATCTAATTACAGTCGCACCTCACTTAACGACTGAGCTGCGTTCCTAAGAGTAGGTCGGTAAGCAAATTAGTCGTTAAGCGAGAAGCACATTGTACTGGTGGTGGGTTTGCGTCAACTGTCTTTAGATATTTTTTAATGTAGCCTTTGCACCACTTATAACATTTTTAGTATACTGTATTTTTAAAAGTTTATACAGTAGTGTACTGTACATATACGGTAATAAACAGCTCTGATATACAGTGGACCCCCGATGAACGAAGGCATCGTCTAGCGATAAATTCGACTAATGAAGCGTTTGAGGGTAAAAATTTTGGCCCGACCAATGATGAAAAACTCGACCAACATGATTCATCCCGAACCTATCTTTCCAGCCTGAGCACCTCAGCTGCCCTGCCGTCAGCTAGTGTGCCACTGCTTACAAGCCTGGGCAGACGGTTCCATGCATACATTCTATACATTTTGCATTATTCCTTTGATTTTAGTGCTTGTAACTGCTAAATAAGCCACCTTGAGCCCAAAGAAAGCTTCTAGTGCCAACCCTGTGGTAAAAGGGTGAGAAATACTATCAAAATACTATCGTACCATGGCCAGCTGTTGCTGCACCACCATCAGCTGCTGCTGCTGCTGTACCACGGTCAGCTGCTGCTGCACCACCATCAGCTGTACTACTCTAAGATATGAGAGTGTTGTTGGTGTGGCTTAACGAGAAACAATTACTGAGAAACAATTAATCCCAGAGTGTTAGCCACCCAGGATAACCCAAGAAAGTCAGTCTGTCATCGAGGACTGTCTAACTTATTTCCATTGGGGTCCTTAATCTTGTCACCCAGGATGCGACCCACACCAGTCGACTAACACCCAGGTGAACATGAAAAAATGCCTGGAACTAGTGCTCATATTGGTGAATTTAAAGATAGCAAAGGTTGGTTTGAGAGATTAAAGAATAGTAGTGGCATACACAGTGTGAAAAGGCATGGCGAAGCTGAAAAATTTGAACCCCAACAAGTGTTCAATTGTGACGAAACAGGCGTGTTCTGGAAGAGCTCAATGAACAGATTTTTGTTGTGACAGAGATCCAGTGACTCAAGTTGTTCCCAAATTAATACACCTCCATCTCCCCTCCTCCCACCTCATCACTACGTCTTCAATAAAGGTAAGTGTCATTTATTCTTCATTTAGTACAGTACAGTATTTATTGTGCATGTATCCTCCTTTTTCTGTGTAGGAAAATGTATATTTTATGTGAAATTTTTTTTTCATACTTTTGGGTGTCTGGAATGGGTTAATTGGATTTCCATTATTTCTTATGGGGAAAATTAATTCGACTAATGATAAATTTGAGTAACGGCAAGCTCTCTGGAATGGATTAATATCGTTGGTCGAGGGTCCACTCTACATTACTTAGGTTTGCATATTGGTTGGAGAGCTGGTCGTAACCCTGAGCGGTCGCAGTAAACAAGTACATAGCTAAGTGAGGAGTGGCTGTATGGTGATTGCGAGTCGACGGTAAACGAGTGAAGAGTGACTGTATGGTGACTGAGTGGATGGTAAATGAGTACGTCACTAAGTGAAGAGTGACTGTACGGTGACTTGAGTGGATGGTAAATGAGTACATCGCTAAGTGAAGAGTGACTGTACGGTGACTGAGTGGATGGTAAATGAGTACATCGCTAAGTGAAGAGTGACTGTACGGTGACTGAGTGGATGGTAAATGAGTACATCGCTAAGTGAAGAGTGACTGTACGGTGACTGAGTGGATGGTAAATGAGTACGTCGCTAAGTGAAGAGTGACTGTACGGTGACTGAGTGGATGGTAAATGAGTACGTCGCTAAGTGAAGAGTGACTGTACGGTGACTGAGTGGATGGTAAATGAGTACGTCGCTAAGTGAAGAGTGACTGTACGGTGACTGAGTGGATGGTAAATGAGTACGTCGCTAAGTGAAGAGTGACTGTACGGTGACTGAGTGGATGGTAAATGAGTACGTCGCTAAGTGAAGAGTGACTGTACGGTGACTGAGTGGGTGGTAAATGAGTACGTCGCTAAGTGAAGAGTGACTGTATGGTGAAAACACAACTACAAAAAAATACACATTGTGCATTGTCAGTAAAATATTATATTGGTGTTATACGAGATGCAATTTAAAAAAAGCTTAAAAGATCAGAGGTGTTGTTTAATGCTATCTGGTCTATTTAATATATCACCTAAAATGGATATTGTACCTGATATGAGGAAGATAGCTAATGTGATACTTATACAGGAGAGCAGGTCTCACTTTACAGCAAAAATGACTGTGAAGTGAAACAGCCTTTTCTCACTTTCAAATGTATACAAAAGCCATGTAACATGTTTATATTATCATATATTAAGTGATATCATATATTAAGTAGATAAAAGACTGTTGAGTAGACTTCAGGATGTACATGTTTATAGAGGGGCCACAGATATATCAGATCACTTTCTAGTTGTAGCTACACTGAGAGTAAAAGGTAGATGGGATACAAGGAGAATAGAAGCATCAGGGAAGAGAGAGGTGAAGGTTTATAAACTAAAAGAGGAGGCAGTTAGGGTAAGATATAAACAGCTATTGGAGGATAGATGGGCTAATGAGAGCATAGGCAATGGGGTCGAAGAGGTATGGGGTAGGTTTAAAAATGTAGTGTTAGAGTGTTCAGCAGAAGTTTGTGGTTACAGGAAAGTGGGTGCAGGAGGGAAGAGGAGCGATTGGTGGAATGATGATGTAAAGAGAGTAGTAAGGGAGAAAAAGTTAGCATATGAGAAGTTTTTACAAAGTAGAAGTGATGCAAGGAGGGAAGAGTATATGGAGAAAAAGAGAGAAGTTAAGAGAGTGGTGAAGCAATGTAAAAAGAGAGCAAATGAGAGAGTGGGTGAGATGTTATCAACAAATTTTGTTGAAAATAAGAAAAAGTTTTGGAGTGAGATTAACAAGTTAAGAAAGCCTAGAGAACAAATGGATTTGTCAGTTAAAAATAGGAGAGGAGAGTTATTAAATGGAGAGTTAGAGGTATTGGGAAGATGGAAGGAATATTTTGAGGAATTGTTAAATGTTGATGAAGATAGGGAAGCTGTGATTTCGTGTATAGGGCAAGGAGGAATAACATCTTGTAGGAGTGAGGAAGAGCCAGTTGTGAGTGTGGGGAAGTTCGTGAGGCAGTAGGTAAAATGAAAGGGGGTAAGGCAGCCGGGATTGATGGGATAAAGATAGAAATGTTAAAAGCAGGTGGGGATATAGTTTTGGAGTGGTTGGTGCAATTATTTAATAAATGTATGGAAGAAGGTAAGGTACCTAGGGATTGGCAGAGAGCATGCATAGTTCCTTTGTATAAAGGCAAAGGGGATAAAAGAGAGTGCAAAAATTATAGGGGGATAAGTCTGTTGAGTGTACCTGGTAAAGTGTATGGTAGAGTTATAATTGAAAGAATTAAGAGTAAGACGGAGAATAGGATAGCAGATGAACAAGGAGGCTTTAGGAAAGGTAGGGGGTGTGTGGACCAGGTGTTTACAGTGAAACATATAAGTGAACAGTATTTAGATAAGGCTAAAGAGGTCTTTGTGGCATTTATGGATTTGGAAAAGGCGTATGACAGGGTGGATAGGGGGGCAATGTGGCAGATGTTGCAAGTGTATGGTGTAGGAGGTAGGTTACTGAAAGCAGTGAAGAGTTTTTACGAGGATAGTGAGGCTCAAGTTAGAGTATGTAGAAAGAGGGAAATTTTTTCCCAGTAAAAGTAGGCCTTAGACAAGGATGTGTGATGTCACCGTGGTTGTTTAATATATTTATAGATGGGGTTGTAAGAGAAGTAAATGCGAGGGTCTTGGCAAGAGGCGTGGAGTTAAAAGATAAAGAATCACACACAAAGTGGGAGTTGTCACAGCTGCTCTTTGCTGATGACACTGTGCTCTTGGGAGATTCTGAAGAGAAGTTGCAGAGATTGGTGGATGAATTTGGTAGGGTGTGCAAAAGAAGAAAATTAAAGGTGAATACAGGAAAGAGTAAGGTTATGAGGATAACAAAAAGATTAGGTGATGAAAGATTGAATATCAGATTGGAGGGAGAGAGTATGGAGGAGGTGAACGTATTCAGATATTTGGGAGTGGACGTGTCAGCAGATGGGTCTATGAAAGATGAGGTGAATCATAGAATTGATGAGGGAAAAAGAGTGAGGGTGCACTTAGGAGTCTGTGGAGACAAAGAACTTTGTCCTTGGAGGCAAAGAGGGGAATGTTATGAGAGTATAGTTTTACCAACGCTCTTATATGGGTGTGAAGCGTGGGTGATGAATGTTGCAGCGAGGAGAAGGCTGGAGGCAGTGGAGATGTCATGTCTGAGGGCAATGTGTGGTGTGAAATGAATGCAGAGAATTCGTAGTTTGGAAGTTAGGAGGAGGTGCGGGATTACCAAAACTGTTGTCCAGAGGGCTGAGGAAGGGTTGTTGAGGTGGTTCGGACATGTAGAGAGAATGGAGCGAAACAGAATGACTTCAAGAGTGTATCAGTCTGTAGTGGAAGGAAGGCGGGGTAGGGTCGGCCTAGGAAGGGTTGGAGGGAGGGGGTAAAGGAGGTTTTGTGTGCGAGGGGCTTGGACTTCCAGCAGGCATGCGTGAGCGTGTTTGATAGGAGTGAATGGAGACAAAGGGTTTTTAATACTTGACGTGCTGTTGGAGTGTGAGCAAAGTAACATTTATGAAGGGATTCAGGGAAACCGGCAGGCCGGACTTGAGTCCTGGAGATGGGAAGTACAGTGCCTGCACTCTGAAGGAGGGGTGTTAATGTTGCAGTTTAAAAACTGTAGTGTAAAGCACCCTTCTGGCAAGACAGTGATGGAGTGAATGATGGTGAAAGTTTTTCTTTTTCGGGCCACCCTGCCTTGGTGGGAATCGGCCGGTGTGATAATAAAAAAAAAAAAAATATTAAGTGAGCAATAGAGTTAGGCCTAAAAAGTGCATATACAGTACACACATTACTTCTTGTTTCAACACACCGGCCGTATCCCACCGAGGTGGGGTGGTCCAAAAGGAAAAACAAAAGTTTCTCCTTTCAAATTTAGTAATATATACAGGAGAAGGGGTTACTAGTCCCTTGCTCCCGGCATTTTAGTCGCCTGTTACAACACGCATGGCTTCCGGAGGAAGAATTCTGTTTCACTTCCCCATGGAGACACATTACTTACCTTAAAATATTTAAAACCATAGCTTATAGTAAGTGATGAATATATTTATTGTAAGAAGTCTGAATATATGAAGAATGGGTATAACAGAAAACTGCTGTCTTAGCAAAACTCTGTAAAGTGGGGCTCTCCTGTATACAAAACTGGAGATTAGTCCCTACAATCAAATTACCACCAATACTTTTCCTTGCTAGGCAAGTCCTACTCATTCTGAAAAATACAAGGAGAGAGGAGCACAGTAGTAACCTAGTGGCCCATGCTAGGCAAGTCCTACTCCCACACAGGAACATAAAAATAGAGGAGCACTGCAGGAGACTTACAAGCCTATGCTAGGCAGGTGGCCTTGCTCACACATGTAAACAAAAGAATAAAGGAGAACTGCAATAAGCCTATTTTCCTACTAGGAAAATAGGAGTGGCATGTGTGAGGAGATTAATGCCAGTGTACCTAATTACTGCCAGGTGAACAAGAATGATAGATGTATGGAAAATAATACCTAGGTACCTGCTTTCTGCTATCTGAATATGGACAGCGGATGTAAGAACTATAAAGAACAATTAGGCACACTACCATGACTGAAACAATATATAACCTGTACATTCTTTCTTTCAACAAATCGATCACCTCCCACTGAGACAGGGTGGCCCAAAAAGAAAAACAAAAGTTTGTCTTTTTAACTTTAGCAATATATACAGGAGAAGGGGTTACTAGCCCCTTGCTCCCGACATTGTAGTTAACTATTATGACATGTATGGCTTACAGAGGAAGAAATATCCTGCATATACC